GTCACAGCTTTTGAATTAGGAACATCCAATGTGAATGCCACTATGGGACTGTCCTGTGTTTGTTTTTTATAGATACTTCCAATTGTTTCACCCACGTAAAAAAGACCTAAGAATTAATCATAAAAAAAACCTTAAGATATTAATTAATTTTTAATTCTGTTAATGTATTACATTTCAAAACTATTATGTGGTAATTGTCAAAAAATGTCTAATGTTTGAAATCATTCAGAAAGTGAATACATTATTAATGAATGCATATTTATTTTGACTGCTGCACTGCCTCTCTTGACATTTGTCAGTTTTCCTTTTGTTTTTAATTTTAAAGGCACAAAGGTTTCATTAGACGCGTTAAAACGCCGATTGCACACAGTCAGCTCCAAATATCAGACAACAAAACTCACCAAAGATCACACTACAAGCCCACTGTTTAAAGCTGAGATCCATCTTGCCATTCCAAATGTTGTCATGCGTCCTAGTCTGGAAGACATACAAGTAAGAAATTATTTTTGACACAGTTGTTAAATATTTTTGTAAACAATCTTTCATTAAAATGTGCCTGTATAACCTTTGTGCAAACTAAGGCTAGTGAATAGAAGGCACCATAAGGTGCCACGGCAGACTTTTCATTGTTCTCTTGCCCTGCACAGAATGCTGGTGGAGCTCCTAAAGGTCACAGACATTTGTGACAATGCCCAGATCCTGTTATTAGAGGAGAGGAGTGTTGATGGTGTGACAGCTGGCAGTATGTGCAGGAGTGCAGGAAATGTGACAGTGGGCAGTATGTGCAGGAGAGGAGTGGGAAGGATATGAAAACAGGTAGTTTGTGCAAGAGAGGACTGCTGAGGGTATGACAGCAGGCATATGTGTAGGAGAGAATTGTGGGGGGTATGAACCAGGCAGGAGGGTATGAGAGGAGACATTACATGCAGGGGATGAGTGTGGAGGGCATGACAAGGCTTGTTATGTGCAGGGGAAGAGTGCAGAGGGTATGACAGTGGGCAATATGTACAGAAAAGGATTTTTATGGGAGGCAGTATATGAAGAGTGCAGAGGGAATGATAGCAAACAGTATGTGCAGAAGAGGAGTGCTGAGGGTACAGCAGTAGAGGATTGTGTATTGTAAGATGAGGGTCAATATGTGCAGGACAGCAGTGTGAAGGATATAACATGGGAGAAATATGTGCAGGTGTGTAGAGGGTATGACGGTGGGAAATATGTGTAGGAGAGGAGGATGAAGGGTATGACAATGGGCAGTATGTGCAGTAGAAGATCCCGGAGGTATGACAGGGAGAGAATTGTCAAAGGTATAAAAATTGCAGTTACTGTTCTTTCCATAATTAGCAACAAAATCACTAAAAATATGGTCATAACATACAGTTGATAGTGGCGGAGAAATATGCCCCATAGTGCATTTGGCACCCATTTACAAAACTGAGTAATTATAGCGCAGCAGAATGGAATCCAGGCTCTTCACACAGAGGGTCCTACAGAGGAGGAACAGATGTTAAAATCAGTGTCTAGGAAATGGGCCTGCTAAAACTGAAGCAGGTCGGTCCACCAAAGTGCAGGTGGCAGGGATTGTGTCAGCAGCTCCATGGACTGTGAAGGGGACAATGTAGTTTAAAAAGGAGATGCCAAAGATTATTAGCAGTGACTATGTCAAAATGTCCAGGTTTAGTGAAGTTAGTGCTGGTGACATGGGAGATGGAGCAGGGCTTTGTTGCCAGGGATTGTTTAAACAGGAAATGGGACTTGGAATCTGAGATTCCTCTTGGTCCAGAGTGGAGATGAGACTGATATTTGGTGTGGCCCACCCAATTGGTGATGGATTATATGCACTGGGGCTGGGTGCTGAGGGGTTAACACACGTGTTGACATGGATGGGTTATTACTCATGTGCTGGGGACTAGTTGCTGAGGGTTAACATAAGTGCTGTGGTCTGACTGCTGAGGGCTAAATGCACATGCGCTGAGTATTGTAGCTAAGAGATTAATGCAGAATAATAGGTGCTGACAATTTAAAGCACATACATTGGCTACTGTGTGCTGGGGGGTTACCTGAATGATCTGGGTACTGGGTACTTAAGGGATTACATACATGTCTGGGGATTGAGCACTGAAAAGATAATGCACATGGGGATTGGGCATTGAGGGGTCATTACATATGCACAAAGGAGTGGGTGGTGAGAGATTAGTGCAAGAGGTTAGCACTTATATTCTGCACACACTGAATACTTGTCACTGAATGGTTCATGTACATGCTTTTAAAAGTGAAGGTTGAACTTGATGGACATGTGTCTTTTTTCAACCTGACTAAGTAACTATGTAACCATGTACACTGCAGACATGTCACTAAAAGGTTAACACTTCTAAATTGGGGGGATTTAGGGGTTAGCGCTTCTTCTGTGGCAACTGATCACTAAGAGGTTAACTGCAGACTAGTCTCTGATGTGTTATTGCTCCTACCGGTGTAAAAAGGGCTAGTCAGCTGTGTGTACTGGAGCGACTATCTCTCTGTGGCATATATACTAAGGAGGTATATGTGCTGGGGGTAGGATACAGGGAAAAGACAAATGTGTGCCCATAAATAGGGTGTTTGTAATTAGTTGAATATATTTTTACTTCCCTAAAAACCTAATGATGAGCAATTGTTTCTGATCATGTTAATAACAGAATGTCTGCAGCTACTAGTTAATATAAGCATTAACTGAATGAATAAAGCTCACAGTATGGATGTACTGTATGTTTATTCAGTGTTTTTGTTTTGTACATGATTACTGCTTTCATTCAGAAACTATGTTTCATTCTCCATGTTCTGTTCTTTTTCAGATTGCGGTGAACAAAGCTATAAATATTATATTGTCAGCAGCCAAGGACATTCCTCTTTGGAATTTTGCACATCTACATCACAAACAACAACAGGTAATGCTTTACTGTGCCCTTGATAACCTATATAAAAGTTGATGGTTCTGATGGCAATGTAATGAATTATGCTTAGTGGAGATCGAATTAAATATTTTTCTAAACAAACTAACTCCTATACATGCAAGAGTCTTTTTCAAATACTAACATGCTGTGTCAACACTGATTTTTTTAAATTTATTTGTGTACCTTTTTAGAAGCGTTAACAAAGGCTTTGTGCAAAATGTCGTTCAGAATTTTTCTATACGATTGGTGCAGAAGTTGTATCTTTCTTTTCGATTCCTTCAATTTGAACTATTAGGCCCCATTTACTCTAGGGTGCGATTAGGTGCTTTTTTAAAGGTGCTTTTTTAATGCATTTTTGATTTTTGCAGTTTTCGAAATCATATAATTGCATCTAATGATTTCCAATGCATCCATTCACACTTTGTGCTTAGATGCTTTTAGATGCAGTCAGTTTAGCTGCGTTTAGGAAAAACAAAATTTAGGTGCGTCCAGGAAACATTGTTCGCTTCTAACGCACGTAATCACATGTAAACTCAAGATGAGTCTATTTGTTGAAATCTCATTGGCTACTTCAATGGACTATTTCAATGAACAAAGGAGAGATGCATCTAAAAGCATCTGCATAAAAATACAAGTGGATAGCATGAATGAAGCCCCCAGTGGTTCCTCACACCAAATACAGCCAAGCTAAAGATACATGGCAACTGCATAATTTAGACTTGCCTTTATAGCAAGGTGCACATGGAAGGGCTTACAACAATACAAAACACAGAAGTTTCCCAGCACACTTACCGACTATCCTGCAACAAAACAAACTGCCCTGTCTAACAATATGCATTAAAAACAGAGGTTTTAGTTGCACAACTTTTTGCAAAAAATATGTTAAAGCCACACTGCCCCACCAAGGCTCCTCTGTGTAGTGTGGTTCTAACTCTTATTTTTGTTAGTCTCCATATTGGAGCATATTTAAGCAGTTGATAAATGAAATGCGTATGCCTGGAGGGAGACCACTCCTCCTTTAGGAGCCATTCACATATAGCGTGTTTCCCGCACGGTTTTCCGTGGAAGACCGCGCAGCAACGGAAATGCTAAAATCTGTCATCTGCACGGATTCCGCTTGTTTGCGGCTTTTATATACCTCACAAGAGCGTATTTGGCCGCCCTGTGTGAATGGAGCCTAAAGCCACTGCTGTCCTCACTGCCCTTCTTTCTACAGGAACTGAACAAAGGATCTTCATGGAAGGATCACTACGTATTATTTTAACGAAAACTGCATATTAAAAAACATTTAAAAGAAAACTGGGTTTAAATGAATCTTTTAATCTTGTATAAGATTGTAGTGATTAGTTTTTACACTATTTCAAGATTTATGTAGTAATGGTGCTTAGATAACTACTGAAAAAGTTTTTGTAGAATAACCTTGAATCTGTAGTAGAACTCTAAGAAATGAGAATTCAGCAGTATTTACAGTCATGTAGTAATGATGAGGTGCCCTGCTTTTGCTCTTTTGAATCCCTCACTTAGTTCCACAGGGCATTGTCTGCTTGCTATTGTTCAGCCTTGTCCTGTCATGTTTAGTCTCAGCATAGCTGTCGCTTCTCCCTTAGCAGAGACCCATTGCAGCTTTCTGTTCTCTTTAAATCAAAATGCAGAAGATTCCAACAAGAAATACAAAGTATGTTTAAATTAATGAGAAATACAAATTATGTTTAAACTAGTAAAGTAAAGCAAGCAGTAAGTGTGTGAAAGCTGGAGTTAAAAAAATTACTGTTCCATTAAGTCTATTTTAAATGAATTAATATAAAATAATAGTCACAAGAATAAAGCCACATGATGATGGCTTTGCATAATCCTTTCCAATTATTCCATTTTGTATGTGGAACGACATTTATTCAGGCCGTAATTTTACATTTTGCAATTAGTGACTTTGCTTAGAAAACGGTATACTTTCCATTTAATTGATCTCCTAGAGTGTAAATGTTCAGTACAAAGGTGCTGAGACTTGGTTTGTGTGCTTATTGTTATGTGTTGATTTTCGCACTTTATGAAAGATATGGTGCTGTTTCGTAAATTAATTGTATTTGCACTCATATGAAGTTGCTTGCAGCAAGCTCAGCCATCTGAAGTAAAAATGTATCATTGAAATTACTAAAAGTGGATCTTGCACTACAAGCCAGGTTCACTTATTAACTTTGCTCCTTCCTGCACAAAGTGACATCACTCTCCTTCCAACAAGATCCCAAGGAATGCTGATAAGGCTAAATCTTGTGAGATGAGGCTCAAACAGAGTGCAAAACCATGTTTTTTATGAGATTGGGCTATTTGGCATTTCCCGGGATCTTGCCAGAAGGAACATGCCAGTCTCAACTAGGTGCTGTGGGCTGGAAGATGGGTAGGTGTATTCAATAAAACATTTTCATCCATGTTTTTTTGTTACTATTTTTTGCAGCGCTTTGGTTTGGGGGAGGGGAGCACAGTAAATAAGTGGACCATGCATTTTTGGTGCTTTAAAGTAAATGGTTATATGGAAACTGTTATGTTAAATCCTCGTGATTACAGAAAAAAATGATTCTGTAGTTTGGGACCCAGTGACTAAAATATATTAACTGCTACTATCGACTACTTTTATGGAAAAGTACGCTGTATGATATGCTCTCTGCATTGCCTATGAACCCATTACCTTTGCACACTTTTTGAAACACTGGGATTATAACTCCCCTGTGTCACCATCGGTAATGATCGTATGTTACAGCAGTGCCTAACCCGGAATTTTATAGACCCAAATACACCAACGACTACATAAAAGTAAGATGGCACATACAGATGCAAGTGCATCCCTATAGAAAAAAAAATGTATTAGGGAGAATTTGTTCACTGTTTATCACTGAATACATTTCTGCAAACAACATTCTCATGAACCTACAGGAGATACTAAAACTACCAAGTGTACAATGCCTCCATCTTTTTCATGGCACAGATCAGTCTAAATAACTCTAATTTGTGGGGGTTTATCAAATCCATGTGCTGTATTTATTTCCCCTTAGGAAAGTGCTATTGTATATATCCCCTTCCTCCTTTACAATCTCTTATATGGAAAGCAGTCCCCTCTTTTTTGATTTCTCAGAATATATAATATTAGAAAAAGAAAACTAAAAACCAGTATAGCGTTGTAATATAGCAACCCTGATATATGGTACATGGGCACAAAGTAGGTTATTATGGTCTGTTCGAATATATTAGACTGAACCTTTAACTCGGGAATGCTTGACTCCTCTCCCCTCAATAAACCAGCTTGGTCATCAGCTTAATAATCTTTTATGGTCGCAAATGTGTTATTGTGCAAATCTTTGTATGAGTGATTGTTGTGGTGTTACTGATAAGGGAGAAATATTGTGAGCCCTGCATTACATTTTGCATCAAGCCTTAGGATTCATATAGCTGTGGTCTAACATTAATCAAATAATTCTCTTGAATTCTTTTTCATTTTTCTGCAGCATGATCTCCCATGCTAGCTTTTGTAACACAATTAAATGTGGACAACTTTGTGGCCTGTACATGTCTTTATTCCTTCTTTTTCCATACTATCCACAGCTAGAGCAAAATGCTGCCAGAGATCTGGGAGATGAACTTACTAAGATGGTTGTCCTGAAACCTTTGGATAAGCAAATCAGTGAACATAAAGATGTGAACAAAGTTGTTATCCAGCTCAGCTCCATTGTCTTGTCTCTTAAAGCTGATGCTACAGATGTGCTCAACAGCTTTACTACATTTTCTGGAATCTGGAATCAGGTAAAACATTTGGCTCTTCCTTCCCTGTACCTAGCTGTGTCATATTTGAATTTCCATCAAAATACCAAGCCTGTAGATATCTGGCGGCAGTCTTAATTGTTTACCTGCAGCTCTTCTTTGTACTCTCTTCAAATCGTGTAGTATTATTATAATATAGTAAGCAATCCACCCATTTGCTTGAACCACAATATCACAATATTACTAACAGGGCTACTCACAAAAGGGTGAAGAGTTTGGAGAAGGCAGGAGAAGTGAACAATCTAGGGCAAAGTAACTGATTTGGAAAAATTCTCATATTCAACCCACTTTCAGTTCAGCTATGTTGTCCTAGATTGTTCACTTCTACCTTCTCCAAACTCTTCACCCTTTTGTGACTAGTCCTATACATGTTTAATTATTATATTGCTAAACATAGTGATATGCCTTTTTAAGCCTTGTCATTAGGCCTATATACATTACAACCACCTACTGCTAACAATTTCCATTGTGCTAAGCATTACACCCACATTAATTTGTTTAGATGTAAAAGTGGAGAGGCTGAACAAAATCTTTAATGTATATGTGAAAGAAAGTATGGTCTGCACAATTATTAATGGGAAAAAAAGAAATGCCCCAATAATCTTGGGTATAATTTATTCTTGGAATCAATGTTCTGAAACTAGACAATGATTTGTACAATCATTTTAGAGTTATCTACTATGCATACAGGACCTTGTCTCATTTTTTTTGGTTTATTTCTGGTATTTATAGGACGTTGATGAAAAAGTAAAAGAATTCCTTGACACTAACCCTGTAATGTCTGAATTCCGAAGTCAACTCGGTTATTACTCAGTAAGTAAAGTGAATTTCTGTTGCCCTGTACCTATTTGTGCAACTACTGTACTTCGCTTGCATCAAATAATATTCATATTTTCTTTACAGCAATTGGAATCCCAAATCAGCGAGCTTCCAGGTCACTGCATTGTAGGCTCTGTCAACTTCTCGACCGATTGTTTGAAAATGGCATTGGTACAGGAATGTCGCCGCTGGAAGAGAGCCATTGGTTCTGCTTTGAATAAAAAGGCAGCAATGGATATGGATGAGATTTATTCATTTATTGATAATCTCAGTAAGCGACTGAATAGACCTATTATTGATCTGGATGATGTGCGTGGAGCTATGGATGGACTGAAAGAAATCAGAGAGTCAGAAATTAAGATTGACATGATGATTGGACCTATTGAGGAATCACATAGTCTTCTGGTAAAATATGAGCTGCTGTTTCAGGATGGCAATGCAGAGCGTGTAGATGGATTAGCTTATGCCTGGAAGAATTTAAACACACAGGTAAGCTTAGTTCTTGATGTGTGTGAATTATGAACATCATAATCATACAGTATGAACTGGGTTTTAATGTGCCTTTTTTTAAAGGTTGTGCAAACCCAGAATTTACTCATCAAAGTGCAACCGGAGATGAAGACAGATTTGCTTGAAGGTGTGAAAAAATTCCAGATTGATGCTAGTGAATATTATAAAGACTATGACATGGTGTAAGTATTCTTTCTAAATTGTAATTGTGCTGTGATTGCATGCCCCTAGGTCACAACACAAATGAGCAATACAATGCTTGTGTATTAAATCGTCATTTCCTGTTTTTTGGGTTTAAGTGGGTTTTGATGTGCTACTTTTACACATAACTACCCATTTGGAATGGCATGCAAATTGTAACTTAGAAGGGTGTGATATGCAGTCCTAATGTCTTACATTACCAAATGGAGTCACCGGGCCTGTGGGAAGAAGAGGAAAGTTTGTCGATTTTTCCACAAAAAAACCGGGGGGGGGGGGGGGGGGGGGGGGGTCAAAAAAATTTGTCAGGAGCCCAAGAACCACTGGAGAGTAAGGAGGAGGGAGGTAAACAGTACCTATAACTTATTCAAAATCATAAATTGTGCAGTGCAGGAAAACATATCAGCCAAGCCTAGCAATCTCAACTGCCTTACAAGAGAGCATAACCCCAGACTGAACAAGCAGAAACACTCCCCTCGCATAGGAGGTTTTCCTGACAACCATATACACAGTAGCTTTAAAAGTAAACAAAAAGTCATTAGTGGAAACAGTTGCAATATTAGCTGTCAAAATCACTACATGAAGAGTTACCTTCAGTGTAAATAAACTGTTGCTGAATTGTGAAATGAAGAGTGCTCCAGACTCCCTTGAGATCTCCTGCAGGTTCAGTAAGTCCATCCAGATAGGGGGGTCAGATAGTCCCACACTTAAACCGGTAAATTAATCCAAAGAAGGGGTTGGGTTGCTCTACAAGGAGAACCACGTAACCCGTGGCCAGCAAGGTGGCGCGACTCTCAGGAAAAGCAGCGCATGCACATGCAAGATTTTGGTAGTGGGCTATGCATCTGCCCTGCAATGCTTTTCATGCTCCCTTCCCCTAGGAATAGACGGCTAGAATAGATGGTCTATCACTGAGGAAGGGAAGTGTCCATAATTCAGTTCTATCATATATTGTGCTGTGCATGATCATACAATGTGCTGTTTGAGTGATAAAGTGTCTTAGCAAAGTGATAATTAGGGCATATATTTGCACAGGGGACCTGGTGTAGAAGGTATTCCTCCCAGAGAAGCAAGTGACAGACTGCAAGTTTTCCAGGCCAAGTTTGATGAACTTTGGAGGAAATATGCTACTTTTTCAGGAGGAGAAGATCTTTTTGGCCTGCCAATAACAGGTAACATTTTACATTATTATAGCTGAATCCAACAGCCGTGTTTAAACACAGTGCAAATGTAATATCTGTAGCAAAATTCTTGACAAAAATACCTTTTGTTGAATTTCAGAACATTCTGAACTACAAAGGATTAAACGTGAACTCTCATTACTTCAGAAACTCTACGGTCTTTATAATGCAGTTATAGATAGCATTAATGGATATTATGAAATACTCTGGACTGATCTGGATATTGAGAAAATCAATAATGAGCTACTGGACTTCCAAAACAGGTTGGTATTTTTCTCTAATTGCTCTAAGAATTCTAACTACAAATGACTGTGGCTATCACATGCAGCTTCTCTTTACCCTAGATAACACTGCCATTTTTGAAATAATGAGAATTTCCAAGGGATAATAATCAAAGGATTATCAAAAGATAATCTGTTTTTTTAGAGCTAGTATCCTAATACTTGACTACATGATCACTTCCAGTGAAGTGAGGGGATTCTGTGCAGCACTTCTTTCTATGCCAGTCAACAAATAAATATTTAGTAGCACCTTGTAAAATTTCAGTATAATTTGCGGTAGCTGCACCAACACTTTTAGAGGCTTAAAAGTTAACTGTAATTTCCTTTAAAAACTGATATACATAATTTCTCCAAAAGCCTTTTTGCATTCATGTGTTAGTTAACATTTCTTTTCTAGTTCAGTCTGCAGCCATCTTTGATTTCCAAAAACTGACAAAAATGTAAACGTTGGTTGTTTGTGTAAGGGTATTCTGCACACTATTAGTGTTTGGGACTCCAATGAGAAATGTGATTCCCTGCTCATCATATTTTGGTAGCAGGAAGATTCCCCCACTCAGCACTAAGGGAGTAAGAAGTGAGTGGAATTCATGTGTGACTTTCAATACAAATGACAGCTGATAGGCCTTGTCCATTAAGTTTTATAGAATCATTGTAACGTATGTTACCAGGAGATGGCTGTTTTTCTTCTCAGCAAAAGTGGAATTTAGGCATTGTTGGGGCTTTGTTGGTTTTGATGGAATTTTGTTGGGGTCCAAACTGTTTTTCTTTCTATGCTAGTCATTGGGAGGGGAAAAGCAGCTTGAAGCAGATTGTTAAAGCTTCGATGGCGGTGAAATGCAAGTAACAAGTGGGTCAGCTGCAGACAAAATAAAAAAAACAACTTATCATTCACAGTAAAAAAAAATGGTCTCACAAGCATCTGAAACTGATGTCAGATGAAAACAGAGTACACCTGAAAGCAATCTGCATTTGTCCATCAACACAAATCCAAAGTGGGGCAGGCTTTCGATGATCGCAAGTACGATCTGCCCGTCCAAGGTGGTCAGATGGAAAATGTGCAACAGATTCTTCCATCTACACTTAACTGTGTGGATGGAGTAATCTCCACCTGGGCCAATCTGTTGCACTTTTTCCATCTGACCACGGAAAATCTGCAGATAATTGTAAGGTGTGTTAAACTTCATAAGCACATGAAAATAATTGCTTTGAATTTAGCAAGTTTACCATGAAATTTAACAGAACTATAAAACAGATAAATAGAACATAGCAATGTCAAAAAGCAGCATAAAGAAATAGTAAAACATAGCCGAAATCTGAAAATCGAATGTGTTGAAATAAAGAAACAATTAAACTGCTTTTATGAAATTCCTTCTCCGGCTCCTGTCATTGAAAATGAGAGAAAAAGTCTTAAAAACCGGTCAAATGTATCTAAAATATAAATGTGCCTGGATTAACTTTATCTTCTATAACATCGTTTCACCAAGCAGGGTAATAAAAAGCTAGAATGTTGAAATTGTTATTTTACCTAAATTGCTATAGAACAAACAGCTGCATATTTTTTAACCAAAGGATTTTACTGATATTTGAGTAGTTTCTTTTTACAGCAGGTTACGTAAAAACATTGTTTGAAACTAGCCTGGTAAAAAACAGCAAAAATGACAGGATATAGCTGTAGTTTGTTATAGATGATGACATTGATGTTACAGAGCAGTTACATTTTTTTAAATTCACAATTATGCTCCTTGGTTAGATAGATTTTGTAACAGAGTTTTAACTGCCACCAATCTCTATCACTGCATGGTACAGTATGGTACTTATGTGCTGCTCTAACTGTTTAAAATCTGCACCCACATGTTTCTTATCAACTGTAAAGTCCCACAATTACCCATCGGGCCTGCCAGTTAAAGTGACATTAAAGTCAAAAGTTTTTTCCCCCCCCCCCCAATGCTAATGTAAGGACTTACCTTAAATTATGTCTCCTAATCCGATCATCTTCTTCTTTACTGTCCTTTTCAGATGTCCCTCCAGCACTGGTGCGGGTCTCAGATCCAGCGCTGACTCCTCTGTCCTCCTCTTCTCTCATGTCCCACAGAGTCTGTGTGGGTGCACGCTGCTCCATATACTTACCTAGTGTCTCTCCTTGTCTTCTGGCCGAACATCTGAACTGCGCATGTGCCCGCCCCAAGATCCTTTGTGGCCGCCCGAGAAATTTTCAGTTTTTAAAAAAATCGTTTTGCATATATTTGCTGCTTGCTAGCAGTAGATATATGCAAAAACATGAGATTTTAATAACCCTTTAAGTTTACCTAATGCAGTTGATGGGGTGATGGGGTGGCAACGATGCTGGCTTGTTGCTGAATTCAATGTAGCATTGCTACTCTTATGTAGGCTGTGCCTGCTTACACTACAGTGAAATAAAAAAATGCTGCAGGGGGCATGGTTTTCAGCATTGCCACTGCCGATTCACAAGCTTTTATTTTGCCATTTAACATCTGGTCACACTAAGACCTGCCCTCAGCTTTCTTTCTTTTTTAGGCACTAGTTCTTATGCACCATTGCTATTTTGTTGTGTTTGCATGCCTATAATAATGTTTACAGAGCTCATGTTAATCCTGCTACTTTGCCTGTAGAATTCGCAAACTGCCCAAAGCGCTAAAGGAGTGGCAAGCATTCAATGACTTGAAGACCAAGATTGACGTCCCCCCCCCAATGCTAATGTAAGGACTTACCTTAAATTATGTCTCCTAATCCGATCATCTTCTTCTTTACTGTCCTTTTCAGATGTCCCTCCAGCACTGGTGCGGGTCTCAGATCCAGCGCTGACTCCTCTGTCCTCCTCTTCTCTCATGTCCCACAGAGTCTGTGTGGGTGCACGCTGCTCCATATACTTACCTAGTGTCTCTCCTTGTCTTCTGGCCGAACATCTGAACTGCGCATGTGCCCGCCCCAAGATCCTTTGTGGCCGCCCGAGAAATTTTCAGTTTTTAAAAAAATCGTTTTGCATATATTTGCTGCTTGCTAGCAGTAGATATATGCAAAAACATGAGATTTTAATAACCCTTTAAGTTTACCTAATGCAGTTGATGGGGTGATGGGGTGGCAACGATGCTGGCTTGTTGCTGAATTCAATGTAGCATTGCTACTCTTATGTAGGCTGTGCCTGCTTACACTACAGTGAAATAAAAAAATGCTGCAGGGGGCATGGTTTTCAGCATTGCCACTGCCGATTCACAAGCTTTTATTTTGCCATTTAACATCTGGTCACACTAAGACCTGCCCTCAGCTTTCTTTCTTTTTTAGGCACTAGTTCTTATGCACCATTGCTATTTTGTTGTGTTTGCATGCCTATAATAATGTTTACAGAGCTCATGTTAATCCTGCTACTTTGCCTGTAGAATTCGCAAACTGCCCAAAGCGCTAAAGGAGTGGCAAGCATTCAATGACTTGAAGACCAAGATTGACGATTTCAGTGAGAGTTGTCCTTTGCTTGAAATGATGGCAAATAAAGTAAGGCTAATATTTTTGCATTAAATGCTTGCATTTTAAAGGCCCGGTCCCCCCAAAATTAATATTTCAGTTTTATGTGAAGTATAATGTTTTGATCAGCTGGTGCATTTTTTTTTTAATTTATTGGACTGTTTAATATCTTGGTGAGATCTTACTGCCAACATACATAAACGGTAGGTGTTCTTGACCGTATTGTGGGTTTTCCTACTCCTCCTGCTGTATATCACATAATATAAAATACATTACAAATCCAGCAGTGAGGTTAGGACTCCTTCAAAACATCTGGAAACAGGTCTCAGGTCTGGAAACACTACTATTGGAGACCTGGGAAGACATAAGTCGTTAGATGTCTTAACTCTGCAGCATCTGCTGTAAAGCTGGAATAATAACTTCAGGAGGACTGTGCAGCTAATTGTATCCAAGTAGATGGGCTTTGCAGTGCTAGCCAGTTAATTTACTGTTATATCTATATAGTGTATTTACACACACTATACATACAGTGTAACCATTTTTTCTAGCAAGTGCACTGGCTTGAATTTTTCTCTAGTTTGCCTTTCACATTCTTGTAAATGAATTCTGATAACTAGACTAAAAGGGAAAATACGTGTTTTTATACAGACTTTCACAGCTGCTATCTAGGGACTGTTAGGCTGGGTTCACACCTAGGCGTATCGAATATGCGCGATTGTCGCGCGTTTTGTGTCGCACGTTTTTACCACGATTCGCGGTAAAACAAACGCGCGTTTCCGAGGGCTACCTGGCTGTATCCCAATGGATACGCGCGACAAAAACGCCCCAAAGAAGCTCCTGTACTTCTTTGGGCGTAGGCCGTTTTGTAGCGCATTCAGACGGGCTGAAATACGCCCACGTGTGAACCAGACCCATAGGAAACAATGGGATTTCGGTGTTTGAGCGTTTTGCAGAGCATTCGAACGCGCTACAAAACGCCCAGGTGTGAACCAGACCTTAGACCACTGTGATATGCGAAAGAGAGCAATATAGAGCTTTACACAGCCTCTATGTGCGAGTACTGTTAGATGTGATAGCTAGAGGAATAAAATGGTTTAATTTCAAGTTGAACATAACCTACTCTACAGATCTCGGTTATAATTCCTGCATATATGTCCTATCATACAGCTGCAGTTATCCTCTTTGTGCACAGTTTAACACCATTGTGCACTTTAAATTATTGTAAATCATTGTAAAATGTTATTTTATCTTCTTCTTTTGAGCCAACAGTTGGAGCTTGATTTTTTTTTACATAGCCATTTCAGCTTCTATGTTTGTTGAAACACACTTGTTTTTTATAGAACTCAATAGCTCAAGATAAGTAAGTCAAAAGGATGACTCTCGCCTTATCAGACATCTCAGTCTGAGATTTTAGTCAGACAAATTCTACCACAAGGCAGGCTGCTTCTGCTATGCTGTCTCTTTAGCTAACACATAGTGCTCAGTGAATCTTTTGTCATGTATGAAATGTTTATTAGTAAAATTAGCATTCTATATATTGTATATAAAACAATTACAACTACAGTTTACTGCATATGTAAATTTAAAAAAAAATCAAATAACTTTGACCCAAAACCATTTCAGCTTCCTATTGGCCACCCCCTTTATTCTCTCTCCCCCATTAATTATGTTCCTGACACCACTGCTGTTACCACTGCCACAGGGATTATAGAACACTAACATAAAGTCAGATTCACGTACTTACATCAGTATTAACAACGCATGAAAAGGAGAAGTGCTGAGAGAGTAAAATATACTCTCCTCGACATGGGACACTTAGGCAGCTGGGTTTGATCCCGACTATATTGTCGGGATCCTTACCGGCTGTAGCTCACCTTTGCCCGCTATTTTTTGGCTTTACTTCTCTTTTAATAATGATTATATATCTGTATTAAAGCATTTTTCTTTTTTTTATTATTTACTATCTTCTGACTGCCTGAACAATTCCTAAAATGTGATATTATTAGAGATGACACTTTTTGGAAATCATAAATGTACCTTATTCCTTCCTTAATGATTTTCCTCTTGAATAAATGAAATGATACCTTAGGTTGCTAGGACTAATGTGGGCATATTTCACCTGCTGTGTTTCATTGCTCCTAAAACTAAATTGCATTTCCTTTGTTGAATTAATCTTTGATCGCAGCTCCATATTGTCTTATTAAGCTATTTTTCTTGCACATCAGGCAATGATGAGACGACACTGGGATAGAATTTCACAACTTACTGGTCACAAGTTTGATGTGGAATCTGAAAGTTTTTCCTTGAGGAACATAATGGAAGCCTCACTTCTGAAATACAAAGAAGATATTGAGGTAAAGCATCATAAAACTGATATGGCATGTGGTTTAAACAAGATTTTTTTCTTCAAAACAGGATATTACATAAAAAAAAATCTTTATTTTATTGAATCACTTCATTCTGAGTTTGTATTCTTACAGACCATGGCTTTGGTTAGATTTTATGAAAGCTCTACATCCTCCTATTGTAGGGTCTACCATTCCCTTGCAATGTAAAGAGGGTCTGTCCGTGGCATGCCAACAGTATGTAGAAGGTCACTCTCCACTGTAGATAAAAATCCCACCTGGTGTGCAAAATTGCCCTCCAGTGTATATATTAAGATTCCATTAGTTTGCTTTACACTAACCACTGCACCGTGATAGTATCAATATACACAGGTGCAGCATGCAGAAATCCAAGGATTGCACCAATTCATAACACCCACATTCATAGTATGTTTGTTCGGAAGAGCAATGGTAAAGGTGAACTCAATTAAACTTTCAAAATAAAGAATGAATGCACCTATTTTGCTAAATTTTAAAATACAGCAACCAGTACAACAAAACAATGATTGCTTGTTATGTCCTGTTAACCATTACACAGGGGGCACCATCAGCATGACTGTCATTTTAAAGACATTCTTTGTGCAGAGCAAACTCCTTTATGTGACATTATACTCTAAAAAAGAAGGACGTGTGTCTGTTAGTTATAATCCCCAAAAGATATATTCCTTATTGAGCAGAATATGCCATCTAACATTATAAATACCAAAGCATTAAACAATGCAAATTGTTACAAAATTACAAAATAATATGACATTACATAATATAACTAATGACATAGGTTCAATGTTGTGTTTGTTCATTGTTTCATCTTGGTTTTTTTATTGTAAGATGTTTTGTGTAGGTTTGATTTATCAGACTCTGTAGCAATAGAGGTAGCAATTGCTGTTGGTCTCATATCCCTGTGGGTGCCACCTCGAACACCAAGGGGTTGATTTAAAACCTTATTCGCACAATAGACGCATGCGAGCGTTGCTACAGATTACGGGCAGTAGATGGAGCCGAGGATTATCCTTCTCAGCGCCATCTAGTGGCCATAATGGCTGCAAATCTTGGGCATGGGTTATAAATCAACCCCCCAGTGACACTGATGCTTGTGTGTCTTTTTCTCCCTAAGTGCACTCACAGCAGCATTACTATGGTCATTTTGTCACAAAACTCATATTTGTGCGCAACATTTCATAGGACCCGATTAAATCTTTGCATTGAGTTTTAGAAGAGCTAAACTACACAATTGGACCCCTGCAACAATTTTTTTTAGAAATGTCCTCCCTTTTCTATGTCTATATGTGATCAGAAAACACTTCCTTTTGTATAGTAATGCTTTATTTAGTAAGTCTACCCGGGAGCCCAGTGTTTACTAAAATGATACCATTTTTAAAATGTGAAATGTAACATGCGCTTAGATAAGAGAAGAGTTCACAATTGTTCCTGCTTCTTATTGTTACTTTTATCTCTGGAGTACTATAAAGGGAAATTACTCCAGCTCTAACAAGGGCTGTCATAGTTCAGTAGCACAAACTATAAGAGGTTCCAGTGGCTCATATAATGAGTCACATGACAGAGGATACTGAATTGAAGAGAGCTAAAACCTTCAATTATTATAGCAGAGGGACCCACAAGTGTGTGTGTGGGTTGTGGGTTTGGAAAAAAAAGAGCGATCTGCAGGTGGCTGTTCCTCTTCTGTATCAATTAGTGGTGTTTTCAGTGAAGTGAACTATTGCTACCTGCAAATTGAAGCATGTGGAGATGTAATTGTTGTATGAATATTTATATCCAACAAATGAGAGCATATGAGCTGTGCAATTTTTCATTTGTGCAGCGCATTACTTGTCTTCTTGAATATATTGCACTGTTTTTTCCCCTACATCAATTAGCTATGCAAATTGCTTTGTGCTTTTAAATACGCTATTTGGCTGTTAGAACTTCAGTATTTGACGTGCAAAATTAGAAACATGTTCAGCTAAAAATGTTCTTATCACAAAGCAAACAAAACAGCGAATGTTTGCAATTTGTAGGTTATATCTCTTTTATTTAATTATTAGATCTAAAGGCGTAAAAAACTAAGCAGTGAATAATTTATGGCTAACGGCTTTTGTGTGTTTATTTAATTCTATAGACCGTGTAGTGTTACTGTATGTTACTGCAAATGTGCTTATCCAAAGTCCTAAGGTCAAGATCGCTTGGTTTGAACAGAGAATGAGAAATTGCACATCAGTATGCCCATGCCTTCTCACTAGATAATGTTTAGTGTACCATTCATCTTATTAGCAGCTACGTAATGTGTTTCTATTTAACATATATAGATCAAACACAGTCATTTTCACAGCCAATAATGCAGCACTTATGGCACTTGTTCAAGTGAAAAGCTTGTCGCAAAACAATGTATGGCTGGGATACAATACACCTTATTGGTTCCTTGGTAGAAAAATTGGTATTTCATCTTTAGTTGCTTATTTTACATGATTATTATTTTCCATTTGATAAATTAGAAATCTCTTTCTAGTATGTATTATAATTCCTTAAAGGCTACGTTTACTTTTTAAACCATGTTATTTTACATCCATATTTAGGGTGTAACATTAGACATCGTCACATTCCCCAACCCCTACCTTCAAACTGCCACTTACCAGAATTGTAGGGTGCTTCTCCCTGCACGCCCTTTTTAAAAAAAAATTGGCATGGCTGTGGTTGGCTGTGCCCTCACAGCCATATCATCCATTTACAGGATCTGTTACTGGAGAGTTCACTTTTCAGACCATGATACACCCATTATTAGGGTGAAACATGATACATCTGTGAATGAAGAAACTACAAGCCTTTTTTGCCACCGCAGCAGAGGAACATGTGGTTATCAAAAGAATACAAGTATGGTGATGTCACCGTACTTTAATCCATTAATAATTCCTCTGGTCCCATAACTAAAAGTCCATACCTTGGGACTGATGGGCTGGGAGGAACAGTCTGCAGGAGCCTGAGCATTGCAACCATGATCCACTGATCAAAGTTGCTATGCTTTGCAGGCTCCAATCCCCAAAAAATAAGAAATGCAAATTTTTTCTTTTAATAATGTGTATGCATGTATTATTTCTATAGAAGCTGGACTATGCCTTTGAATTATATTTACTACTAAGATACAATTGTCAAAAGCCAAGAATGTATAACAATTGTAAATAGCAGTTACATGAACCAGTGTTAAAAAGTATTAACATTTAAAGACATTTACAGAAGACAGTCTCCACAGGATCAACACAATGAGGAACAAGTATGCTTAAAAACCTTTGTCATATGTAGTGTACTGATTAGGTAGAGGAAAGGATGGTAACACTCATCAATAATTCCAACTTGGTAGGCAGAACACCGGAGATAATTACAGATGCTATAAAATCAATTGAGCAATCACATATAGACTACAATGAAATGGCCACAAACAATCGTATAACAATATAACAATAAGCTGTGTAGATAGAACATTGTTGGGTAGAAATGAAATCAGCACTTTTCCACCTTGGTCTGAAACATTTTCTTTTGTTATAGGTTTTCTGCTTCATACTTAAAAATTAAAACATTATTTAGTCCCTTAAGCCCCATGCACACATTGTGTGTGGACAGCCACAGCCAGATTTATGCCCTGTGCAAATCAGTGGCCAATGCTGCCTATATTCACTTGTAACCACTCAAACCAGCAGTTATAGGTGACTAAGGCCTTTGATTGACACTGAACACAGACAGTTTGCACCTAGGGCCAGTGGTTCTGAACATACATGAACTGGAGGCAACTAATTCTCCATTTTGTATGGGGCCATAGCATGAGTTTAGCCGCATCTGAACGCAGCAGCCTATTGGCCCATCTCAGTAAGCCCTTAGTCAGTGCCAGTACTTGGTTTATTTAATTAGCTAATATATCACCATCTTAATATTGGTCAAAGTACCTCTGACATTTTGGGCTTTTATAAAAGGTTTTTGTGCTAACCTTGCTGTCTAGTCAGAATAAGTTATATTGCTATGCATGGTCAAGTTATATTACAATTCAGAATAAGTTATATTGCAACTCAGGGTCCTATTTACAGTTCTTTCTGCCTTAGGCAAAATTTGACTCATGACACTGCCATACATTTTCTAATTTTGCCTGATGAATGGCACATGGTTATTGCAATCATGGGAGCACTACAAGTATTTATAATCTAACTGTTGCAGTACAATTGACAATCGGTTTGTGGATAGGTCACATATGCCAGGCAGTGTTTGCTTTCTATGCATATGTTTCAGTAAATATTTTCTAAATAGTAACCAAGCTTCATCACCAGTGCTTGAATGCTGCTTGCTTAGTAGTAGTCTTATGTAGTCTAAGAGTTAGCATCAAAGTGCATCTAAAGCTAAAACATTTTTTTGTTTTTCTATTGTAAAGTGGATATACTTTTGCATGTTCACCTGGATAGATAGGGCAAACAAAAATGGCATGGGGTCTCCTCTAAAATCCATACCCTTATCCAAGCAGCCAGCCTGGCTGGTCGCTGAAAGGAGGGTAGCAGGACTTCCCCACCTCCTAACCCGTACCAGAAAACAGGGAGATGGAGAGTGCAAAGCCTCTTCTTTGCCCCGTTCCAGAAATGTACCATGCACTCATATTTATAAAGATAATGGCCTCATCCCCAAATCCAGTTCCCAAAAAGATGTAGGGTCTGCAGAAGGGAGGGGAGGATTTATCAGAATCTGAAACCCCCATCATAACCACATTTCATCAGTGACCTCACCCAGAATCCCATGTCCTGTTGATCCCATTCTGATGCTGACTGGAGAGATGTCAGTCATTGACTGAAGCAGATTGTTTTGGTAGGTGTCGTTCATCGTGATTGATGTGGGTCTACATTCACAACATGATTGACAATGAATTAATATCATGGAAGTAAAAGAAACAGGTCACCAGCACTCATTTAGAATAAATATGTCCTTTTTAAATGGACAATTGTGTCACTACAATCAACAGAGCCTGTTGATTGTAGTGACACAATTGTCCATTAAAAAAAGGACATATTTATTCTAAACGAGTGCTGGTGCCCTGTTTCTTTTACTTCGTATTTTGCACGGTGCCATCCGTGATAGTCATTGCGAGCACCACCGTTCTTATTTGGCCAGGACTGCTGTAAGGTGTGCGGAGAGGACCCCCACCACCTGAAAACTTAATATCATGGAACTTTTTTTTTTTTTTTACAACCCATACTAGACCTAGGACATGGACTGAGTGACCATTCTATCCAGACTATAATTTGGACCACCTTAAATTTGTATTCAATAGTGCATTGTGCCACTTCATGTGCAGGTTTAAACAGAGCCGGCGCTACCACATAGGCAACACAAGCGGCCACTTGAAGGCGCTGGTGGGGGAGGGCGGAAAAACATCACCTCCCTCCCATACACAGGAGCAGCGACAAGAACGGTGCTCTGAGCTTCAGTTCCCTATAGTCAGAGCCCCACCCACAGCTCCCTCTGCTGTCTGCTCTCTCCCTCTCTCCGGAGCCTGTTGGTGCTGTTGCTGCCCTGTCCCAGCCAATATATTAGCACATGAATGTGCCTCAGTAATTTGCATATCAATAAGCTGCAACCCATTCATATGTTAATATCACGGGTCATTCATATGCAAATCCCCCCCCCCGCTGCTAAGGAAGAAGAGACTGCCTGAAGACTGCAAGAACAAGGTATGTTTAAGTATGTGTATGGTATATACATTCGTTACATTGGCGGTCATTGTGAACACTTTTGTTACATTGGCGGTCATTGTACTGTAAATACTTACGTTACATTGGCGGTCAGTGCGAATACTTTCGTTACATTGGCGGTCAGTGCTGTTAGTTATGATATCTTTAGTGAATACTTTCGTTACATTGGCGGCATTGTGAATACTTTCGTTACATTGGCGGTCAGTGTGAACTCTTTTGTTACATTGGCGGCCATTGTGAACACTTTTGTTACATTGATGGTCAGTGTGAATACTTATGTTACATTGGCAGTCATTGTAAATACTTTTGTTACATTGGCGGTCAGTGTGAATACTTTTGTTACATTGGCGGCCAGTGTATATACCTCCATTACATTGGCGGTCAGTGTATATCCCTCCATTACATTGGCGGTCAGTTTATATACCTCCATTACATTGGCGGTCAGGGCGAATACTTTAGTTACATTGGTGGTCAGTTTGAATACTTTTGTTACATTCGCAGTCCGTGTATATACCTCCATTACAAGGGCAGTCAGTGTGAATACCTTGGTTACATTGGCGGTCAGTAAGAATGACTCCGTTACATTGCCGGTCAGTGCGAATACTTTCGTTACATTGGCGGTCAGTGAGAATACTTTTGTTACATTGGCGGTCAGTGCTGTTAGTTATGCTATCTTTAGTGAAGATCTATGGAGGGTGTCCTTGTACTGGGGTGCTCCATGGTAATGGACGTGGGGTATCAATGCCTGTGGCTTTACATACAGGGCTTCTGAAGATGATGGTCAATCTTTTCCCAGATTCTAGATAAGTATAGTGTGAGCTGTAACATGGACATCTTTGTTATGCTTTTTGAAGTGGTACACGTTGGGGGGTGTCTTTGTATTGGGGTGCTCCACAGTAAACTATTTGGGGTATCATTGCTTGTGGCTTTGCATATACAGCACTAGTAGCTGATAGTCTTCCTTTTTTCTAAATGCTTCTGAGATAATTGGCTTGACCTGTACCATGGATTTCACAGATCTCCTATTAGTTTTGGAGGGTGCTGGGGGGTGGGGGCTTGCTCTGGCCCTTTGTTTAACCAGTTGACATCCGCGGTGTTAAACCCCCTTCCCATCCAGGCCATTTTTCAGTATTCAGCGCTGCGGTACTTTGACTGACATTTATTCCGTCATGCAGCGCTGTACTGAAATGAATTTTATACCCTTTTTTGGGGACACATAGAGCTTTCTTTTGGTGGTATTTATTCATTGCGGACGCAAACGAGCACATATAGGTGATCGGCGGGCTATGCACCCGCTGATCGCCTATATGTGAAACACCCGGTACCGGGTGTTTGCATTGGACAGGTCTTTTCTGCCCGTGCGTGCCCGCCAGGGGGCGCACGTGAGCAGAAAAAAAATGCCGTCTGGCGACGGCAACCCGCCAATGCAGCAGTGCCGTCCGTCCGTTTTTCTACTACGGGCGGACGGCAGGAGGTTAAAGTGCAACTGAAGCCAAAACGTTTTTGCTTTTTTTGGATAGAATCAAGAGGGATTAGAACATCTGTCAGTTTTTTTTTATTGCTGTCTGTGTCCCTGTCATTGAGATTCACCCTCTCTATTTGTCCTGGTCCATTATCACATATCATTCAGTAAGTGAAAGTAAAAGAAAATCCCAAATTTTGGGTCATCATCAGAACAGGAATAGATGGAAAATCTTCCAATGGCCACACTAGTTCTCGTGACTTCGCTAACCACCAGGAGCTCGTTATTTAAAGGAATTGTGTATTTTTAATGTTGCCATTTAAGCTTTTAATTCAAATGTCCAGCGAACCAAACTTTGCTTGTTTTGCTTATCACTAATGGCAAGTATAGCCTGTATAGATATACAGTTAGTACAAATTAATGTGTTTACATTTACACTGTATTTCATTCACAGATTTTATGTCTATCTTAATTTCTTTTTGTTGCAGGACATATGTATCAGTGCTGTCAAAGAAAAAGACATTGAAGCAAAATTGAAAAATGTAATCAATGAATGGAGTGCTCATGTATTTACTTTTGCCCAGTTCAAGTCAAGAGGAGAACTGCTCTTGAAAGGGTCAGATACTTCTGAGAAAATCGCTTTGATGGAAGACAGTCTCATGGTATTAGCTTCCATTATGAGTAACAGGTAAACAACAGATTCCAAAAATGCAATTGTCGCAATATCTATCTGACTTGTGAAAAATGTTTGATAACACAGTACATGAGAAAGTCATTGTAGTCATTTAGTAGATGCAGTAGATAAAGATTCAATTTATCTTTTAACATAATATGGCAAAACAAACAGTTGCAATTTTTATAAATATACTACATATGTATTGCAGTAAATGCTAAATTAATGCCAATTAAAGTGAATGTCCAGCTAAAATATTTTTAATTAGTTTTGTTGGAGTGAGGAAGGGTTAGAACCCCTTTCTGGCTTTACTTGTATCCAGGATTCCATTAGAGAGAATTCCTCTGGCTTTCTTTTCTGGAGAACAGCTTCACCACAAAGAAAGTGAGAGTACATTTTCTATAGCAACACAGGAATTTTTTTTTTTTTTTTTTTTTTTGTAGTGTAAGGAAAGGCTGGAACCCCTGCCAGCTTTGTAGTGCTGTCTTTGTCCTTTTGCAGATCCTCTCTCTCACTTAATTCTGATGAAAACATTGGCAGCAGAAGAGAAAGTGAGGAAAAAACTCTCTCACAAGTTCCACATGAGCAGTAAAACAAGCAATAAAACGTTTGGTTGGACTTACACTTTAAACATCTTGGTTCGACCATACATATGCATGTCCTGGTTATAAAAAATATTTATTTGATATTTATTTACAGAGTTATATCATATAAAATTATATAGATATTAAATCGTATAGTGCTATAGTTTACTTTGAGAGGGGCTGTGATATGCTGAGTGCATTGTAAAATTACTGGACAGTAAGAGCCAGATTTTTAAAAGCTGTGAAACGTGTTGAAATTAAGTACATGTAAAGCATCTAATTATGTTCTGAAGAATGTCTTCTTCATGTTTGAAGGTTTGAAGTGGTTCACTTCACTGTACTTCACCTCATTTTGACTCAGTTTGACTGCTTTCCGTAGAATGCAGTAGCTTTCCATATCAACCTCCCACCTTGATTTAGTTTACTTGCATTATTGCCTGCAGTAGGAATAAGTCAAGTGCTGCAATTGACAAGTGATTGAGAGCTGTTCTAGCTTTAAAGTGACATTAAAGTTAATGAAAGCACATATCTTAAATTATGTCTCGTAATCCGATCTTCTTCTTTCCTGTCCTTTTCATCTGTCCCTCCAGTGCTGCTGCGGGTCTCGGACCCACGCTGACTCCCCTGTCCTTGCTGGCACTTCCTGTCCCACGGTGTCTGTATGCGAGTGCACGCGTCCATAGACTTACCTTGTGTCTCTCCTCACCTCCTGGCCGAAAATGTGAACTGAGCATGCGCCCCCCTCAAGATGCTTTGCACTGCCTGAGAATTTTCACATTTTTGGACGGGAGCGCGCACGGAAGACACAGGTAAGTATTCTCCTCTTTTAAAGCATTTTGCTAGCAGTAGACATATGCAAAAAAAAACGGAGGCTTTAATGATACTTTAAGTTTCTGATGTGGGTTAATTGTGGACTTGATTCTCTTGAGAATCTTTAAGGTGTGCTATAAAATATTTGCCATAGCATGCACACATGTTTGCACTTTTTAAAATATTTTTCCTGGTTGAATATTTTCTAAGTAATCTTCTAAGCTCTACAGTTTTCAATTCTGCGATGATAAATATGATCACACAATACAGACCTTTGTAACATTAAAAAGGTTACATCATCAACGTGGATCTATCCAATTGACAAAATGGCTTTTAAATGGACAGACATGGAAGTAAAAACTGTAAAACTCCCAGCAGGCTAAGAGCATCTGCACAATAGCACAGTTATCACTAGCTGACATTTATGTTGAGGTTGGTGTGGCACCTCTATTTCCGTGTACAGATCTGATCAATGTTTATGAAATGCTTGAAATTAAGGAACACAAACATGCTGACATTTATCCAATCCTATTATTCTTTCTTTTCTCATATAAATTATTTACAGGTAAATTATAGATCTTTCTATTCCTGGGTAGGAATAATATGTTGGCTAAATAATTAATGTAGCTCTTGTTATGCACTGGTGTATAACACCTCACACAAAAACATATTAAAAAAAGGTAACTGACAATATTTTATATCATCTACTTCTATACTACATAGTAGGCTAGTATAGTTATGCTAACCGGACAACCGGAGATTCCAGTGGGCCAAGACTAATTTCCAGGTGAATATCTAGTTTGGAAGTCATTATTTAATGAATTATGAAACCTTTATTTAACAGGTATAATGCACCATTTAAGCCAACCATACAACAGTGGGTGCAAAAACTATCCAACACAACAGAGATTATTGAGAACTGGCTTAATGTGCAGAACCTCTGGATTTACCTGGAAGCTGTGTTTGTTGGTGGCGACATTGCAAAGCAACTACCTCAGGTTTGTACCATCTGATAAAAAGCAATAATATTGAAAATATACAAATCCAGAAGGTGGCCACCTTCTTGGATCAATTGGCTGTATAGGTGCACATTTCCACTTAAAAGCGAACATGAAAATGTTGAAGCTGTCAAATGAATGTGACATTCTCCACCGGGGCCTGGGGAAGCCTTAAGGCAAAACATATATTCACTTGAAACAGCCAGCTTTGTTTTTTATGGTCCACAGGCTACACATCTACACACATGGTCCTACACATACCGTAAACATACCTTTTTTAGATTTTTTAAACTATTATTAAAGCTTTTTTAAATATATATATACTTTCTATATTGTGTGCAGCTTCCTACATTTTTTGTGGACTTATGTGTATTCATTAGACATGTAACCCCGCAAAGAAAAAATTGTTTTGGATACATTCACATTTTTTTATTTCTTTAATTTTTCGGATTTTGGATCTGACATTTGATTCTGTTCGTTTTTTATTCGGATTTCGGAATTAAGTCACATAACCGTGCCTGTAATGCAACCCACAACAGCCCAAAAACCCCACTTCTGATTGCCCAGAGGACAGTCACATGTCCGAATTAGTTTAGTTTTGAACGAAATTTGGGCGGATCCGAATTTTCGTTAAATGAGCATTTAGATTAGTTCTCACTCAGATACATTTGAATGTCCGAATTTAACGAAATTTGTACGAATTTCCATTCGGAATGAAACAAAATTTACATGTCTAGTATTCATGTAATATCACTTTTGTGATTGTGGTAGCCTGTAACAAATGAGGTGGGGGAATTCTACCCCAGGCTATATACTTCTCCCTGTCTTTCTCAGTGACTATGGTAACCAGTAAAAATGGAAGAGTGGATCTCCCTATATGGAAATTGACAGCAATAAAACTTTACAGATTATAACTTAGTCACTGACCTGCCCCTGGCTTGCTCATAGGACAATAAAGGACCACCATCCCGCTGATGAGGTCATCACTTTGCTTTTGCCTTCTGTCAGCATGTTCCCATTGTTAGGGTGACAACACTGTGCAATGCAGTATATTCTGAGAAAGTGTAAAAGTACATATACACAATAAATTGGGCAGGATAACTAAATGAGTAAAAGATATGTTATAAACATAAATATGCTTTCTATACACAATGAAATGTTGCAGTGCAGAGGTAATCTTTCTTATCAGTGAAATTTAAAATAACTTTTATGAAATAGAAAAAGATATGTGTTTATTTTGTGAAGATCATAGAAGATCAAGAACATAATGTACCCCTTAATGGATCTTCACACCATTGAGACTAGTAATAGGGTACAATTTTGAGCATTTTGCTTGACTAGCTTATATTTTGAATGCTTATGTCAAATAAACACAAAAGCAATTTTTACTCTATTGGAGCAACCAGTATATACAAAGTATACATTGGCAGCAAATGTATACATTTGTGTCTATGTCTATAGAGAGAAGAAAAAACAAATCTGCCATAGGTAAAGAAAAAGCATTTGGTAAGCATGGTCACACATGTTATCTCTGTAGGAACAGCTCATGACACACCAATGAGCAAAGGGTAGATGTCCCCTGTGCCAGTGATTGTCAGAAAAGATATATGTTGCCTTGGTTACTGCATCTATAATATATTTGTGTGACTGTATGAACAGATGTTAATACACAAGGAACTGATAAAGCTCCTTTGAAATGTATGTATGGTTACAACATTTCTCCAAATGGCTACATCTATGATATACAACCTTTGCATATACAAGAATTTATATCAAATGCATTTGAAAATATTTATGGGAGTTTAATTAACAATTGTTAGACCTCTGACTTTAAAAGCAAAGCCTTTTCATTTGGACAATGGAGATTGTTAAATATTACATAAGCAAAATATATTGGACTTTATTAGATGGTGTTTTACAGGAAGTGACTGGTTGTAGTTCATAACAACAAATAGGACGTTAGGTTTAAAGCGTAAGGAAACTTTCAAAGTATCCTTACCCTTTTGCCCCCAACCCTCTGAGCTAAAACATAACCCCCTCCAATTTCCATATTTATTGAGTTCTCACCGCCAAGGTCGCTGCAATATTTACATCCATCACCCTGGCTGCTTCACTTCATGTCCACGCATGCGCAGTAGAGCCCCATAGATTTCTATGGAACTGTGGGACAGATCTCATTTTATTATATTATTGCTGTTTTTGTTGCTACTGTGGATAGTTTTCTACACTTTCTGTTAAGACAGGAAATATCAGGAATTCTCTGTAATTTTTAGTACAGTCCGAAAGAGTTATTACTTCCGACAATGTTTTAATTGCTGTATATTCCTTTCTTATATGTTGATGCCTCTACCCCTTAATTATTGAACAGGCATCCCAAGCACAGGAAATGATGCAACATCTACACAATGGAGTAATGGACAGAAATAAAATCATGACAGAAATTTTAACTCGTCCCTAATCAAAGTTTAAAAATCTTTAGCTGGGCTTTACATTTCAATTGTCTGACTTAATTGGCGGGTTGGATATTAAACAGGCAGAAGAGTAAGACTGCTAACAGACTAAGGTGTCAGTAAATTCCATTTACCATTACATTACCCCTGAAGCACCCCCTGCTTTTCGTTTATTCCCTGGTAGTAGACAACACCCGGCATGGGCGGGTGTCCCCATGGAACAATGTATTCACGTTTTGAGTGACCTATCAACAGATCTAGGTTATGTCAGATGGGGATGCTTGCATATTATTGTGCAAATTGCAACCACCTCAAAGTTGCTATTTGCATATTTACTTCAGGGGTGGTCCATGTGGTAATAAAGGAGAAAATGAGAAGCTAAATTGTATGTACTGACAGCTTATAAGCTGGAAGTCTGATCCAGCTGCCTGCAATCACCCCCAATAGCTTTACTTTAAGCCACTGAAAGTTAATTTGTTGTATTCATTGACTACTGAGTGACTGGACCAGACTGACTTTACATTTACACATTTTGATTATGTAGTGGTCTGAAGTGCTAATTATTAAAATTCTATTTAACAATATATGTAGTACTCATTGATCTGATAAATGAATTACGGCATTACTGTGATGATACACAAAGTAAAACCTGCAGACATTTCAAAGGCAGGGATTCTAAACAATTGCATAACAAATGATATGCTACAAAATATGGCAGAGGGAGGACTAAACTATACATGAGATTTTTAATTACTTTGTTAAAAGAAATGTACTTCAAGAAGGCAATATATGTGCTATCAAATAAGGTGTCTGTTAACGAGAGGTGCGTTTTATGCTACTAAACAATTTAAATTGCCTGTGTAATTTGTTTCTGTGATGATGATGGGATGCTGGGAGGAGAAGACATAAGTATTTCCACACTTTACATCTTCTGAAGAGCTTCGGAGGGTATATAAATGAGTAGATATTTGCTGTAAACAAAAGCATGGTTAGATGCTAACCTGAACAACTGACAAATACCTAACTGGTAATGCCATCATTATTAAATATTAATGGTATACCATGAACTAATGTTGATGGTATTGTCACTTTACTCATTTCAGGAGGCAAAGAGGTTCCAGAACATAGATAAATCCTGGCAGAAGATCATGCAGAGGGCTCATGAGAACACTAATATAGTCCAGTGCTGTGTTGGCGATGAAACATTGGCGCAGTTGTTGCCACATTTACTTGAACAGCTGGAGATGTGTCAGAAATCCCTCACTGGATACCTGGAAAAGAAGCGTTTGGTTTTCCCTCGATTTTTCTTTGTTTCAGACCCAGCTCTTCTGGAAATTCTTGGACAAGCATCAGATTCACACACTATTCAGGTAAAACATATTTTTAATTAATGCTTATTATAAGAAATATTTTTGACTATCCGAAAGTGAACAAAATATAGCCAGCTTACGCTCGCTCCATGAATCCAAACTGGGTGTAAGACCAGGGTACCCATACACATATACAATGCTGAATCCAAAATGGATGATTAGCACACCTTGAATAATAATTTAAAAAAAAATTCCATCTTTAAAAAAACAAAGCATACTGTGTCAGAAGACTGTTTCTGTTGATAAGCATTTCAACCTGAAAAGGTTTTTGCAAATACAACGTGTCAAACACAGGTTTAAATATACTCAACCTACCCTACTGGCAGTCCAGTTGCTCCCAGCTATCCCAATCAAAGACACTTGTGGTTGAGGTGCAGCAAAGACTTCAGCCTGTATCATGATCATTAAACACAAGAAAAAATAAGATAAAATAAATATAAAGTGAACTGAAACTCCTATGCAATGATATTTCAAGTTAACCGTGATAACAAATTTTATGGTTTAGAGATTTAACATATCCAAGAAGCTTCACAAGCCATCAAACCAGCTCTCTCATCTCCACCTCTCAAGTTTATACTTATTATATCTGTAATTTGAAACTGAAAAGAACTCAATCACTTGCATGGCACATTCTACAATGCTTAGAAACATTAATTACACTTACCTTTCCATTAATTGCCGCAGTGATATGCTCTCTTATTCTTTTCTTTGCTTGTCTGATTGTACAAACTACAAGCAGTACAAGTAAGAAGACAAAGTACATTAGAAGTACTACAATTAGCAAAACACTTCATTTTAATTATAATCTACCAATTTTCACCACATTGACTAAGCAAAGGGAGAATTCCCTTCCAGCGCAAATAGTGCATTTGCCTTTAGAGCTTATTAACACCAGTTGTGGTGGCTGCCATTTTTCCTCACTAGATCAATGCCAGTTACCACAAGGGCACACAGAAAAAAAATTGTCCAGATGCTGTGTTTACACCACAGAGCTGGTGTGATGCACTGGATGGCACTGGTGGTCAGTGCAGCGTAGTACACTGCACTGCAGTGTAAGGGCCTGAATGGAGTGTACATTGCCAATAAAGTAAAAAACTAATAAAAAGTATATGGTGTCTTGTGTTGTTGCAGTGTGAAACACTGCTAAAAACAGCTACCACCCAGCAGACACCAGCTCTATGCTAAAATGAGCTCTATGCATAAATCCATTATGTATAAGCCCTTTTGAAGGCTAAAAAAAATGTTGGGTTTAATACAAGTTAAGACATTAACAATAATGTATTTCTTTTTTAGGCTCATCTCCTGAGTTTGTTTGACAATGTTAATAGAGTAGGCTTTCATGAGAAGAACTATGACCAGATTTTGTATTTTGAATCTCAAGAACGGGAAAAAGTAAACCTATTGGAGCCTGTCAATGCTCAGGTAACATCTGTGACTATTAGTACTTGAACGCCTGCTATAAAATAATATCTTTTTCATTGTCTATACTAAATATGTACTAATGATGCCAAACAACATCTGACCTTAAAAGTGTTTTCCACATTACACAAAAAATGTAAAATCCTTCAAACTTCACATACCAAACTTCTAAGTTGCAGTGGACAGCTGTTTTTTAGAGTTTAAAACAGCACTTGATGCTGTTCTGCCTTTCTCAGCGTCCTCAGCATAATAAAGCTCCAGCTTGGGAACTGTTTGAAAGCCGTTGATTTTCAAGTTTAAGTTATTTTATACCAAAAAATGTACAAGCAAGTTCTGTATAACTCTTAAATCAGGGTGCTAATTGGCAGATATTCCTAGTGGGCTGGTTTCTGACTAAACTATGAAGAGCTTTAAAAATTGAGAGCAATGCATTTTTAAGCAGAAACCTATCCAGCGATATTCCCTCTAAAACATGTGGTTGTGTTATATTATGTGCTTTTTCCTCTACCAAACGTTTAGCTAGTAATACCTCCTGGCTCTGTCATTTAGACAACTAGACCATTATATGTTCGATTGGGAGAAAAGTAGAACCCAGTACAAACCAGGTATTCTGTCCAGGTGGGCTAAATTTATACTGGATGAAACTCTATTACATACAATTCTCTGAGGTATAGGATAATCCTGGACGCTGGGGCTACTTGTAGCTTATAGTTCCTAATATGTGTGTTATTTTTGTATTAGGGAAATGTGGAGACATGGCTTGGTCTTCTTCTTAATGGTGTTAGGAATACTCTTCACAACATAATCAGACAAGCATCCATTGCCATCAGTGATTCGGGTTTCAAGCTGTATGACTTCCAGGCCATGTACCCTGCACAAGTTGGCCTGCTGGGAATTCAGATGATCTGGACAAGAGATGCTGAAGAAGCCTTAAATATGTCCAAAACAGACAAAAAGGTAAAATATAATTGTCTGATGTTTGCTTTGGTGATCTGAGCTGAAAAGACAAAACTTACTTTATTTAGGTACTTTTATATGCCAAATATACTGTACAGTGCATAATAATTTAATAATAATTTCCAGTTAGGAGAACTCTAAAAATTAATGTATTATTCTTTTCACATCAACCTGAGTAAAACTGCTGTCATGTCAAAGACACAGATATTCAACAGCAATATTTTGTGAATTTGTGTAGCTAGAGTGAGCAAATAATAATCCTTATACCTTCAAATGTTTGTTCTCAAAGGTTATGCAATCAACCAATCAGAAGTTTCTTGATCTGCTGAATGATCTGATTGATATGACAACAAAAGATCTGACCAAAATAGAAAGAACTAAATATGAGACTCTAATCACCATCCATGTTCACCAGAAGGATATCTTTGATGATTTGGTAAGTGACTTTTCCAGTATTTAATCCCAATATTACTAAATATTTCCTGATGTTTTTTAATAGTACAGATCTTTTTCTTGTAAGAAATGCTTATTAATGTACAGTAAATAAATGTATGGCTTAAAGGAGGGATGTAATATAACATAATATGCAGTTATTCAGTAATTAATGCAAGATGGCATTGTTGTGGTTTTTTTGTTTTTTTTTGCTTTCCAGGTTCGAATGAACATCAGATCAGCTTCAGATTTTGAATGGCAAAAGCAGTCCAGATTTTATTTCATTGAAGATATCGATAAATGCATCATTCAGATTACAGATGTGGAATTCAGCTACTGCAATGAGTACTTGGGGTGTACTGACAGGCTGGTCATTACCCCTCTGACTGACAGGTATAATATGTTGGATGTAAGCAGTACAAAACTGTTCTATTGTGCATTGTAGTCTAAAGAATCTTGTAATTTTTTGTGATAGCACATAGAATATACAGTACATGTGAAAGTATCACTTGTCATTGTATTAAAGTAGTTCTGTGCATTTCATATCCACAGTTAAAAATACAATAAGTATTGAACAAACACTGCATGCTCTGAGTCCCAGCAATCAATAGTATTTAGCATGGCAGGAAATGAATGATTGGTGACATAGTTTACCCAAACAGTTCTCACCATGCTGCACCAAACCAAAAACATTTTTTTTAGATCATCATAAAAAAGAAAAATAACACAAAATTGGATTTTTTTAAATTTCTATATCATTCACAAATTCACAAAAAAAATCATAAAAAACGTAATTGTTGCTCTCCTTCTTCAAGCTTGTAACACCACTCTAAGTCAACAATCCACTTACTGCTATCTTTTATTAATTTGGTTCCATTGCTGGGTCCACGTGCCTGTGCTTGACCTACATAAAAACACATATTAAAGACTGTCTAATATTTTGTAGTATTATTTTACTCTTTGTAAAGCGCACTCATGGAAAGCAGGCTACCATTCGGTCAACAGGAGAGTATTGATTCTTCTACTGTCACCACTTCTTCATATATCTGGGCTGATAACTATCCCCTTTCACATTTTTAATTTCATCCCTGATTCAGTAATGTATTTTTCCATGGATATGCACTATTAGTAGGGTAGAGGATATTGTAATTGTGGCAGAAACAGGCTGTCTATGTATAGATGTAGTAAATGACCCTGAAAAAGTAATTGTTGGCAAGGAAAGGGTGCCAAAGAGACCAGTCTAGGTAGCACAAGTTAAGAGTCTGATTAGAAACAGATGGGTTAAGTCCACAAAAGAGAGAGACTGCAATCAGGTTATCTATGCAGAGGCAGCGGACAGAGGAGACCTGCTGGACTGCGTGCAAGGCCTGTCTATCACACTTAGGGGCCTGAGCCATAGGCTGAGGCAACAAGTCCAGCAGGAAGGCTAGGACTGGAGCATCCAGAACTGTAGCCAGCAGCCAGGAGTAAGAGTATTTTTTGTTGTTGTGTGATAATGAATAACCCCTGTTTTTCGGCAGTGTGTAATGGAAAAATATCCTTTAAGCTCAACTCTAAGCAATTAACTAAATATACCTTTACGAAATACATAAACAAAAAATGTTTTACCTACTAAAAGATATGTAAAACTATGTTGTCTATTAGCTGTTTGCCTTTTCATATTGAAATATATATTTTGTGTTGAACTTTACAGATGCTACATTACCTTATCCCAGGCTCTTGGCATGAGCATGGGTGGAGCACCAGCAGGCCCTGCTGGGACTGGAAAGACTGAGACAACAAAGGATATGGGCAAGTGTCTTGGAAAATATGTTGTGGTTTTCAACTGCTCTGACCAGATGGACTACAGAGGATTGGGTCGTATATACAAAGGTATAGTATTTCAATATCAAAGCTTAAAAGAGATTTGTAAATAATGCCCTATATCAGCTGCCCCAAGTCTCTGACAAACTTTGTATATTGTCATCATAATCGGCCTCAGCAGTATCGCAACTGTTAGTAGCTACTTGTTCACATTTCACAACATTACAACTCCCAACTGACTGTTACCAGTAGATGGCAATCTATGACAGGTCAGTGTGGAGCTGTTTATTTTGTCTCTAGTTATGGAAATTAAAGTGATTTAATTAGACAAATTAGAACACATGGAAAAGAAAATCTGAAATGTTTGGCACATATATAAATTAATGGCCCATTTAATTTGAATATACCTAAATTGCTGTATTGAAGATGATTACAAAGCAGAATTTGCAATGCTGTTTTCCATTTTAAAAGTACTGCTGGTGGTTTTCTCAGTAAGAGATTTGTAAATTTAAAGCATGGGAAACAAAGTATTAAGCCATGTTCTTTAAAAATGTACAGTTCTCATTTTTTAATCCAACAGGATATTCTATTTATCAACAGGGATCCATTTTGTGTAACTAATACAAATGCACCATTTAATGATTTTCAGCTACACTAAAATTCCTACTTGTAACCAGATAGATGAGGCCTATCTACCAAAAAAAATGCCTCAATATACAATAGTCCGTCCAGTAACGCTGCCACAATTTCTATTTTGGTTGCTCTGGTTAACTGCATAATATTGTTCTCTACATTATGTTATCAAATATATCAGATTGTTCCTTTACAAATAATCTTATTTGATAGTAAGAACAATTTAATACTGTATAGGGGGATTTTTTCTGCTTCATGAAATATGATGCAGTGCTCAAAGTGCAATATAATTATACCCTTACTTTTCTATATTTAGTTGTCGACACCAATAGCTTTATATACTGTGTCACTAAGCCTGGGTGAACTCTTTTTTCAGGACCCTAGTGAATAATGCTGATAATCGCACGTCTGTGTTACAAGGGTTAACAAGTCCTGCAATCATTTTTTTTATTCAGTGCTTTCTGAATTCTAATGTAAAGGAAAATGAAGTGTGACTGCTTGAAAGTATTTAAGATTTTAAACTATGAACTGACTGGAAAGCCATCTCCTTGTTATAAATAGGAACAGAAAGATCCAAGGTCATGCTATCATAAAAATGCACCCCCAATAGAATGAGTACAAAGACTATCTAGTTTTATATTTTCTCATATATCCCCAGTGCATCTTCTCTACAGGCAAAATCACAGCTGTTAAATATAATGGCCATGAGATTTGTCACATAGCAGAGGGTGGTAATGTTGTTAATGGGAAATAGGTTATTTTCAGCCAGTGAATAGTGCTTTCATATGGTGTAGCGTGTATGTGTATATAATGCGCACATATATTAAAAACTAAAAATACGTGTGAATATGTGTTTGTTTACCCTAATTTGATGCCCTAATGTTGCTGTCTTTTTAATTTTTTGAGCAACCAGTATAAACTAGTAAGAAAATGAATAGTCTTCATTTTAGGCTTTTATATTAATTCCTTTAAGTCCTTAATATGTGACATATGTGCATGTTCATGTCATTTGCAAGGGAATTTTCACTTTGCAGGGGAATGTTCCCTTAGCTTAGCAAATGAGGTAATGGTCATCTGACTCCCATCATCCAATCTGAGCAACACCCTTGTGAATATTCTGCTTATGTCCTTTAGCATAAGTAAAAATACATTACCATCCTCACCATTGCAATCTGCGGATCTCTTGGGGATGCACTGGCCTGCCTAGTAAATAAGCACTTTTATCTTGCCCCAATGCTTCTGGCCTCTGTAATTGAAGAACAGTTGTGTGTAGCTTCTCTTTCTCAATGCACTAGAATGTATTCTTCCTATACCTGCAACATAAGCTCTCAGTCAGCCTAATGTAGAGAAAGCAAGGAGAACTGAAAAATATTTTGTGAGGCAGTTTCTTTTTAAATTTCTGTTTGAAATGAATATAGATACAGGTGGTTAGTAACTAGGTACTGTATATCAATTCATTTTCTTATTTAAAACTGTTATAACAATTTTAATTAGACCTACATTTTGTTTTTGTTTTACATTTATAAGTATATAATTATTAAGGCTCCGTTCACATCTATAGGATGCGGGAGCACATTGCTCAACATCCTGTTTTGCATGTTGCAATGTTGTATAATACGGTGCCATTATTTCTTAATGGTACTCCAACACTCCTAGGCATCACATGGTAAACTATTATCATGCAGTGTAGTGCAATGCAATTTAAAAAAAACCTGCACACACTTATTTACACACTTAAGTACGATTCAGCTACCATAGGCAGCCCTTTCAAATGAAAGGGCTTTCTACTGCAGTGCAAGTTTGCATTGCAGAGGTTTGAATGAGGGCTGTAACAAAGTATTTTTTGTATTATGTATCTGAATATGCATATCAGCTGGTGGCAAGACCGAATTTTTAGTGTATTTATTTATATATCTGCACAAATAGTTGGCATGTAAGCTTGTTATTTTCTGTTTTTCTGGTGGGTGTGAAGTTTATTGGTTAAATACCTGAATACTTTGAAAGACCTGCAAAGGATAAACAGTCAACATTTCTTGTAGGAAACAATGAGATGTTTAATTGCACAGCTGCACTTCACTTCAGATTGGTATTGGTTGCTCATAGTTTTGATGCATTTCCCATAAAAATTATCAGTAAATCTGCACTCTAATGTTTTAGGCTATCAGTACTGTACACTAGCTTGACTTAATGTTTTGCTGTGAAATAAAAAAATTCTCATTTAAACTGTAATTGGCACAGGTTTGGCACAATCCGGTGCATGGGGCTGCTTTGATGAATTTAATCGTATTGAGCTACCTGTCCTTTCTGTTGCTGCACAGCAGATCTACATAGTGTTACAGTGCAAGAAGAATAAGAAGAGCCAATTTATATTCACGGATGGTGATGTTGTTGATATGGACAGAGATTTTGGTATATTTTTAACCATGGTAAGTATATGTGGATGTGGCACATTTTGCATATCAGTTCAAAACAGTGAAAGACAAGATGCCGCTAGGGAAGTCAGAAATGGAGAAGGATTTGGGGGTCATTGTAGACCACAAACTGAAAGGTAGTTTGCAGTGCCAGGCTGCTGTAAACAAAGCTAGCAGGGTCTTGTCCTGTATTAAAAAGGGGATGTATTGCAGGGACAAGTCTATAATTTTGCCACTTTATAGATCATTGGTTCGACCTCATCTGGAGTACGCGGTCCAGTTCTGGTCACCAGTACTAAGAAAAGATGTCCTTGAGTTGGAAAAAGTCCAGCGAAGGGCAACCAAACTAATTAGGGGTATGGAGGACCAGAGCTACGAGACGAGGCTACTAAATTTAAACATGTTCACATTAGAGGTGAGGAGATTAAGGGGGGATATGATTTCCATGTACAAAATGTTTAATGGTGGTAGCAACATTAGCGATAAACTGTTTAAAATTAACTCCGTTACAAAAACTAGAGGCCATCACCTAAAATTGATGGAAAAAAAATTCCAGCACAAGGGGCGAAGGGGGTTCTTCACAGTAAGATCAGTTAGGGTCTGGAACTCACTGCCACAGGCGGTGATTTCAGCAAATAATGTGGAATTGTTCAAGAAACTTTTGGACGATTTCTTAAGGGACCGTAATATACAGGGGTACGGGTACTCCTAGAATGAGATCCTAATAGGTTGGACTTGATGGACTAATGTCTTTATTCAACCTCAAATACTATGATACTATGATACTATGAAGATCTTGTTCATAATAAGGGAATATAACCTGTTACTGTGGCTTGCAACATGTTATCAAATATATACATATAAAGAAATACAAATTAATTTCTCACACCTATTACCGCTTATTAATGTTTCCTCTGTCAGCTTTACCGTTAATCCAAATGTATATAATTCAGTGCTCATTTTTATAAATCCTGCATTTTCAACATTCACAGTCATGGGGAATTAATGTAGGAATCTGCCAGACCACAATGTTTGTAACCATAATGCACTGCCTCACTTATGAACTTAGGTCTGCTGGCTTAGAAGGGCCAATAAAGGTTTTTTTTTATACTCCAGCCCCCTCACTATAAAGGATAGGGACATAGCAGGCAATGTGCTTTGTCTCTTATAGGAAACCATAGGCAGCAGTGCTGATAAAGTACACAGAGAGAGGTTAGTGTAGGTCTTGTAGGCACTGGCAGGTCTAGTAGTAAATGTAAACCCTTACTGAATATTGGGAAGGTAGCAAAAAATTGGTTATCTTAAATAATTGTGGGGGATGGTTTTTACCTTTTTTTTCCATCTTTTGTTGCATCTTAATGCTGCTGATATCATGCACACCTATTTACAGTATGTCCATGTGTACTTCAGTGACAATAGGGTGCATGTATTTTTTCACAAGGCATATTTATTGTTGTGATTGTTTTTTTCACAGGCCTTTTTTTTAAAAAGGTGACAACAGTGAAATTTCCCTAGGCAATGTACATTAGCACATAAGATTATAGTTTCCTTTGGGAGAGCATATGACAGTATGATTTTCAGGCTCTGCCCCTGTCACCCTATAGCACAAAAGTGCCCAAACAAGTACCTTTTGTATCAGTATCACCAGCTGTTATTTTCATGACAATCTATGAAGTGAAATAAAAATAGGCTTTCAAAGGGATATTATAATGTTAAATTTTTTTGAGATTTTAGTGGTTGGGTTTACATCTACTTTAACAAATTATGCTTGAGTTTTTTTAATTGCATTACTGAGGTACAATTTCATAGGTGCACAAATCTGTACACCCACAAATCATTTTAAGGACCAATATCTGTCCACAACAACTGATTGATAGCTAACTTTTCAATTGTCTCTTCTTTTCTATTAAATGTTTTTGTTTCATTATAATTTTTGGCTCCAGGTGATTAGAGGGAATCAAGCAGAGTTTGCTGACAGTCTGTTCATCAAAATATCAATGCACTGTACACTCAAAGCGATGCACACTCTCACCCCAGGTGCACCACAGCCTCCTGCCATGTCCCCGTATAACCATTTTTTCAAAAATTGTTTTATAGTTATAGACATTAGGCATGGTTTGGTAGAAATAAGCCAGCACCAGGACAGTAAATGGATGTGACCAGGGAGAACAGGCTTAAATGTGAAAACACATACAAGGAGGGTGTTTTGCTACATTTGAAATTCAAGTGTATCATCTCAGAGACACTTAAGAAAAACAAGCAGCAAAGCAGTTTTATTTACATACTGAAGATGGAAAAGGCTTAGACACAAGGCAGGTATTTTATTTTGTAGCGCTCACCCCCGAAGGAGCTGCCAGAATAACCTGGGTCATCACTAGTTGGTCTAGGGGTTTTGTTATTCAGCTGCTCCATTAGCATTTAACTATCCTTTTTCTAGTGCCCAGAAAGCTGATATCCACTCCAGAAGTATAATGCTGAAGAACTTTTATTAACATCTTCACACTGGGAGAGAGGAAATACGGATTCTAGACATCCAGGGCAGTACAGCCATAGACTCCAGACTCACCAGCCCCTTTTTAGCATCTCAGTGTAGATCCATTAATAGCACAGTTGAATAGAAAATTGAGCAGCAGATGGGCAGGGATGAGCACAGATCCCCAGCAGGAAAGACACTAGACTTGCTCCTGAGGTCCATTATGTTCCAGGCACCTTCAGCAGCTATGCGCTTTCCTGGTTCTCCTCCTTTGATAACAGCAGAGGCCTCCTCTGGACTTGAGGCCTAGCATCACCTTTCCCACACTCCAGTGTCCCTACCCCCAGGCCTCAGGCCTAGCCTAGGGGCAGGCTGGACAGCACCCCAACCTGGACTAATCCATGGCTGGCACAAGACTTAGCACATGGCAATTCCCTCAAGTATATGTATATAAGCACTTACCCAGCATGCAACACTGTTTGAGGCAGACCCAGTGATTGGCTGGTGAATTGCACATACACTCACAGTGTCCCTCATTGGATGTCCCACACTGCAGCACAGTCACACTCCACCCAGGTAGGTACAATCAATGCCAGAACACCTTAAATTAACCAGATAAACACCAACTATAATTCAGCCAGACTGACTACAGCTCTGGCAATCACTACATTTCTAGTAGCCACCTCACAGAAGGTGATGGGGGCTACACTTACACTAAAACAAAAGCATACTGTCCTAGAGACAGAAAAAAATGACCAGCAGCAAGGTGGTAGTTTAATGTATCCAGATAGAACAGTCCAAATTGTGCATGCACAAACATGGCAAGTGTGTTTTCTACAATAGGAATCACAGAGTAGTAGATTAACCAGTTGCCGTCCGCCCGTTGTAAAAAGAACGGACGGACGGCACTGCAGCACGGGCAGAAAAGACCTGACCAATGCAAACACCCGTTACCAGGTGTTTCACATATAGACGATCGGCGGCTCTATAGCCTGCCGATCGTCTATATGTGCTCGTTTTTCTGGCCTAACTGATGAGCGCTAAAAGCTTTTAAAGCGTCGCCTGTGGCCAATTTTGGGTATTATAGTTTTTTAAAGATTTCGCGGGCGCACGCAATTTTAAGGCTTGACATGTTTGGTGTCTTTTTACCCGACGTGACCCTGTCTTTTATATTTTACCAAAAAATTGTGTAATAATAAATGTTTTATCATTTAATATAGGAGAAACAGTTATTTTTTTAATTTCGGTAATTTTTCCTTAATATAGTAAAAAATTAAAAACCCAGTGGTGAATAAATACCACCAAAAGAAAGCTCTATCTGTCCCCACAAAATGATATAAAATTAATTTCAGTACAGTGTTGCATGATGGAATAAATGTCAGTCAAAGTACCGCAGCACTGAATACTGAAAAATGGCCTGGATGGGAAGGGGTTTAACACCGCGGATGTCAACTGGTTAAATACTGTTGTGAAAAAAATTAAGCACAGGCAGGACAGTACCTGAGTTGGTGGAATAGACCAAAGTTTGTAAACACAAATCAGGTTTTTTGTCAGCAATTTCATTTTTTTAAGCTCTAAGAAAAGATGCCAGTCAGAGTGTATCCGAGAGCTGCAACCTGGGAGTATTTCTGTAGCAAAGTTCAACACTCCTTGGTTAGTAATAAACAGACATTGTGCCTCAGGTTTTTGGTAAATTGGCCCCAAGACAACAAACGCATGCCTGAATGTAGTGACACAAGGTAGTAGGAACAGTGCCAAATGTTGATACAGGAGGCACAGAGTGATCAATTTATTATTTAGTAGAGGGGAGAGAGGAGACAGATTAGAGGTGCTAGGAGGCAAAAATGTTTGCAGCAGTGGAAGCAACAGTGGGAATAACAGTGAAAAGTGTTTTGGGCTTTTCTTAGTTAAACTTAAATAAAATAATTGTGCTGATTTTAACAGCAACATCTGCAGTTGGTATTTGGTAGTCCTCACTTGTCCAGGTCTGATTCATTTTAGTAAAAGTGAACTTAAAATTCCCCCCACTGCGATGAATGTCCTCTCTGACATAACACATGCAACAAGGCAGGCTATTACCTCAAGCACATTGGGTCACCTGCAGCCATAAAAACCCCATAAAAAATAGTGATGGTGGGTGGGAAAACATTACCATTGGACTGCTCAGGCCATTAAGTAGAGGAAGGGGGTCTGTTTTCGCCAGCTGGTACAAAAACAGTTGGAATGCAAAGCTGCAATACATGGCTGGGCATGGGAGGTGGGTAGCTGGGCACTGCTTTAAGGGCTGCTTTGAGTTTCAACGCCTCACTCCTCTGTATGTTATTTGTGGCTATTGTCTTTGCACTGTACAGTCATTGTACATAATTTGTGGCTATTGTATCTCCCTTTTTATATTGCCTAAAAAAGTGTTTTGCTACAAGTGGTACTGCAGTAAATGAAGCTTACAAACTATACTATTAACCACTTGAAGTGTTTACACCCCCTTCCTGTACAGGCCATTTTTCAGTATTCAGCGCTGCAGTACTTTGACTGACATTTATTCAATCATGCAACTCTGTACTGAAAATAACAAATTTTATACCAGATTTAGCTTTCTTTTGGAAATTTTTAATCAGCCCTGGATTTTTTATTTTTTACTATAGAACGAAAAAAGTACAGAAAATAAAAAAAAAACATTTTTCCGACGTTATGTTTTGAAACATTTATTACCCACATTTTTGGTAAAATATAAAATGGGGTTACGTTGGGTAATTAGACACAAAACATGTTAAGCTTTAAAATTGTGCATGCCTGCAAAATTGCAAAAAACTACCATACCCAAAATTGGCAATAGGCGACGCTTTAAACGTTTTACTGCTCTTAAGTTTAATGTTAACAGTGAATAATGACCCTAGAATTATTGTTCACACTCTGACGTTCGCAGTCATATGTAACATGTTCGGCGCAATAGGAGCAATCATCAATTTTTTTACATAGGCGCATCCGGCACATGTTTGCGCGTGTATGTGGGGACGGGGGACTTTAAACATTTTTTTGTGTGTTTTTTTGTGTGATTTTTTTTTTGTAACTTTATTAGAAGAAAAGGTAGGTCCTGATCAGGATAGTCCACTGATTAACGGCCCCGGATCGGCAGAGCTCAAATCCGTGCGGCTTTACTCCTCCATGGTTGGCCACGCCCCAACTTTAGTTTTTTTATACTTATTTTTCACTTTATTTATTGCCAATATACAGTGACAGGTCCTCTTTATAGAAACATTAAGGGTCTTTAAGACCCCTAATGTCACATAGGGGCCCCCAAATCTGCTTTACCAGCTTCTCCCCGACTTCTATAGCTGGGAATGACAGCTGAATGTGGAAGTGATGTAATAAACATCACTTCCTGCATTCAGAGACCAGCGGGGAGATCAGAGGGAGATTGTATGCTGATCTGATCTCTGGTCACAGAGACGCTGTACCGGTCCCAGGCCTGCACCGGGCACAGCATCTGCAGTGGCGGGAGGGGGGTGCACACCCACACGCTCTACAGCCGCCGGAATGCTTGTATGTAAACCTTTCAAGCAGATTTCCTGCTCGTGTGCACACTCACATTCAAGAAGCCACCGTCCGGCCGTTTGTTTATATATATATAGTGAGATACTGGCTGGCAAGATTGTGGATAATGTATATCTGTTAGCTACGGTTTTTTTTACCTACACATGGGGTTGATGTCTGACATGGAGAAAGCAATCTTGTTGTTTGCCCAAAATCCTAAGTCTTGTTCTGGGTCCTGGAACCTGGGGACTTTGAAAAGCTTTGGGTGGGAATAAGCCTCCATTCACAGGTCCACATCTTACCTGGTAGCCAGGTGCCTCAGTCAGGATTTGGCTTATGCTCAGGGCTCTTTTTCTTGGCCTTTCTGCTGTGGGACCCTACTGCTGCTGGGTATAAAGACTGACTGCTGACAAAATGCTAAAAAGGTACACAGGCTACCTGTTTGTTTTCTGGAACCCATTAGGGGACGCCCTGCTAGTCAGGAAATTATCTGGGTTTAGTTTGTTGCTTGGAGTAGATCGTGTCATATTCTCAGTCTAATATTTTTTTTGCAGCAGAGGAGCATTCACAGGTTTGGAAACCCACTTGCTCTTTGTTAAGAGAACCAAGTTACTGTCATTGAGAAAATGTCTGGAGAATACTTTAAAGCAGTGGTCCCCAACCCCTGGGCCGGGGGACCGGTACCGGTCCGTGGATCAAATGGTACCGGGCCGCCCAAGGAACATTAAATTATTTCCATTTTATTTACTGTGGTGTATTTCTCTCGGGTTTGTCCGACTTTCCAGGACGAGAGGTTAACCGGGAGCTGAGAGACGTCACCTAAAGCCGCACCAATACCGCGCATGCGCAAAATATCGTGATATCGGGGCGGTTTTAGGTGACGTCTGGAGCTGAGCGGCTTCAAGCGGCAGTGGCGTTGTAGCTTTGGTAAAGAGAAGGTGTGTATCGCTCTTCTCTCTGTTCACAGGTACTTTCTCATGTTTAACAGTGCTTGGTGTACGTGTATATTGTGTTTGCTCAAATTTAACCCACAAATTAGCAAAAATTAGTACGAAACAGACGTCGTTAGAAAGTTTCCTTGGGAAAAAGAAAAGGCCCAGTGAAGAGACAGAAGAAGGGCCTTCAACATCACAGAAACATGTAACTTTTAACAGACAATACCATGAGTACTACTTGAAATATGGATTTATCGGGACAGGTGATTCCCACACACCAAAACTGCTCTGCATAGTTTGCGGCGACCAGCTCTCTAATGAGGCAATGAAACCTTCAAAACTGCTTCGCCACTTGAACGCCAATGTTAGGCCGCGGTAAAATTATCAAACGTTGACCGGTCCGCGGCGATAAAAAGGTTGGGGAGCACTGCTTTAAAGCATCAAAAACATATAGAGTAGTACAGACTCGCTTTTGAAATGTATGGCATGTTTGTGGCAAATTTGTGCAATTATTTGGGATGTTCACTTGTTTATAAAATTTAATTTTGTTATATAGAATCCAGGCTATGCAGGACGTCAAGAACTTCCTGAGAATTTGAAAGTTCAATTCCGCACAGTGGCTATGATGGTACCAGACCGCGCTATCATTATGAGGGTAAAGCTAGCCAGTGCTGGTTTCCGAGACAACCTAATCCTCAGTCGTAAGTTTTACACACTGTACAAGCTGTGTGAGGAGCAATTATCAAAGCAGGTAGGTGAAACAAACAGAAATCCATGAAATTGTGACACTATTCTAAAAGAAACACGAGGGTTGTCTTAGATCTCATTCTGATGATTTTGTTGCTTGGCTGTTGTGCTGACCCTTTGGCTTCAATACGTTCAATCACAGGGAGAAAGCAGGCAGATAGGAACTTCTGACTTTTCTCTTTTTCTGACCTACCTACTTCAGCAACTCCAAAAAAATTTAAGCCAGTCAGTTAAAATAACAGCCAGTCAACTAGCATTTTTAGAAGTAGAAATAGCTGTAATGCTTGGTGCTTGACAAGTCACACAACCATGTACGCATACAATAGTTTTGTTTTGGTTGGATAAAAAGTTCAAACCTCTCCTTTTCTTTTTACTGTACCCCCTTTGGGGAGATTTCCCCTCAATCCTAGTTCTGGTGATACCATAAAGGTACTCATACACCTGACGATTATCGTACGATAATCGCAGGTGATCCCGCGATCGTACGATAATCGGCAGGTGTATGGGCAGCGTGCAACCGCATTTACTGTATGGTCGCACGACTTTCGTCTTACTAGCACGCTAGAAAACCCGCCGAAAATTGTACGATTTTCGCTGGGTTGGTAGCGCGATCGAAAGGCGCACCGGCCATTGTAAGCGCACACCGCCTGCTCAGCATTGCATTCATCGGCAAGCTCTCCCCTCGACAGGGAGGGCTTGCGATGATCGCAAGTACAATCTGCCTGTCCAAGATGGGCAGTTCGTACGGAATTTTAATCACCTTACAACCATCGCACAACAAAAGTCGTGCAATGGTTGTAAGGTGTATGGGCAGCTTTATTGCTTGACATACAGAGTTTCACAAGACTTGAAAGTAGAGGTAAATTGCTATAATGGAAACACATGGAGAAACAAATTGACAGATCCTAACCCCTTTTGACAGCACTAAAAAGTGTTTTTTGTATCTCTGTTGGGGAAGTTTACTCTTATTTCCTAATCTGCTGCCAGGAGGCCTGGAAAGAAAGGGATATTTCCCCAATAGAGCCTCTGACATATGTGGTAACTCATTCCTGCTCAATACAAAACTAAAAAAATGTTAGGCTGGATATTAGCTACATTTGTGAAGAAATGCATGCAAACTATTAGTAATTTAAATCTAACTTCAAACTAGGATTTGGTGGGTTTGCCTAAAATATATTGAACTAGAAACTTTGCTCATTATTAGTTTTGCACTGAGAATGTATTATTCTTACGTCTGTTATATTCTTCCATGCCTACATTTTGCCAACATGAACGGTGTATGTGCAATGCTGTGACAAGTATAATTACAATATATGTAAATTGTTAGACCTCTATGTACTTGTCACATATTACAAATTCTTGCATAGGTAAGAAAATTAATTCCTATTACAGTCAAAAAGTTCAGGTCCTGCTATCAACTGTGATTATAAAAGGTGCACATATTCTAATCAAATTTTGGGTAAATATGACGTAGTACAAGTATTGCATACATTGTTCCACTTTTTTTTTTTAGGTTCATTATGACTTTGGATTGCGGAATATCCTGTCTGTTCTAAGAACTCTGGGATCGGTGAAAAGATCCAATCCTGAAGAGCCAGAGAAGACAGTAGTAATGAGAGTTCTACGTGACATGAATCTGTCAAAACTTGTATGTTCCACTGGTTTTCTTTTAGATACGTATATAAGTGGTAAATCAGCCAAATGACATAGTAGTTTATATTGCCAACAGATGATTCAGTTACTGATGGCATGATTGTTTATAACGGAATCTTTAACTAATCTTAATGAAAAAAAATTGTTGATAAGCTAGAAACTACTCTAAAACTACTCTAAAACCTCTAATGTCAGGTTAGTGACTTGATCCTCATTATGACATTTGGGAGTTACTATGTCTAACTTTGCTATGTGACTATAGAATATACAGTAACAAAATATAATTGTCAACCATCCTATGCTGTCATCTATGCCTAAGGCAAAATTCATCCCCAGAATTTTACATCCGTGATAGTCAATATTATAACCTCAACCACTTTTCTTGCATTGTTCTTGTTCCTGTACAAAGAAATGGTTTATGCTTCAATCTCTACACTGTAATTGTTGCTATACAGGTATTTACCATTTTAAAAGAAAGCACAACTACAGCACATACTTTGCCTCTGTGCAATCCACAAACATACTTAAGGGTTATCTGATGCATCTCCCCCGTCCGTTCCGCCAGTCAGTGCTGGAGGATCGGAGTGGGGGAATCCCTGTGGGGAGCCGTGAGTGATAGTCACGGCTCTCTGCAGGGACATGATCGAGAAGTGAGCGAGCAACGGTATGTGTTCGCTCACTTCCAGATCTATTGAGCCGACGCGAGACAGTTTCATTCCCACACGTCGACTCAAACTATGAGGTTGAGTGAAAATCGCTCACCTCATAGTTCTCCTTTAAAGTGATGTCACTATGGGCTCTGTTTGCAGTTGTTCAATTTTTATGTGGGTCCCAAAAGTGTCTTCCTCGCCTCATGTTCCTGCTGTTGCAAAAGAAGACACCTAAAGTATGCCATATTCCTCCCTTTCTTTTCATGTACCCAGTAACTTTGCCCACCTTACTGTTTCCCTCCTGCATCTAAAGGGCTTTGAAGAAAGTGCATCAGTTCTAGGACAGAAGCCAGTGATATTCTGATTTCATCATTTATGTTGGAAAATATCTCTAGTTACATTGGCCATTAGTGGCTGGGGCAAAATAATTTGCTCCAGCCACTGCTATCACTAAGGAATTGTACCACCTACAGGCATGAATTAGGTGTACCACAGGTGTTAAGGTACAGTCTGGACTGAGAACAAAGATTGTACCATGTAAAGGCCAAAAGGTCTACCACTCAGTATATATCATCATATCAAGTTAAAATAACTTGTATTGAAAGACTGTTATCTTGTGTGATCCTTTACACTTTAGTCTTGTTTGACCTTTGCCATGCCTTCATTAACCTTTAAAATATGTATTTGTGGAACATGTATTCAGACTGGCGCAATGTGAGTCAGTTTCAATAGGGGTTTTCTGAACAATTACACCATATTAAATGTGATCCCTCACACTGGATGCACATAGATACCATACTATGCTTCAAGGATTGTTTATGATAGATACACCCGACCCCTTTAGCTAATATGTTGTATAAGTGTTATAAAAGGAAAGGAACCATAATAAATGGTTACCTCTGCAAATATAGTGTGCTCAAGAATTTTAGAAACCTCATGCACTTAGATGGTACAATGGGCTTCTTGCACTTGTACTGGCCCGACTTCAGTAAAGCAAAGCCTGCTTGGTTGTTTTGGGTAACGGCATTTTGTTGTATGCACTGTTTTTTTTCATTTTTTTAAGCAATAGACAAAAAGTAAGGTGTCACCATTTCAGCTTATATGGCAAAATGTTAGAAAAGCTAGCTTTGTGGCATATATTAAAACTATTATGAGTTTTTATTTTTTTTAATCACAAGTCGTTGTTTAAAAACACTGACAAGATTGCTATTTCACAGGAAATGTACTCATTATATAATGCTGAAAGAATCTGAAAATAGCACAAAAAAACCTGCATATATTATAAACATTAAACACATTAATACAGTAAAATGTTTTTGTGCTGCTAGGTGGATGAGGATGAGCCATTGTTTATGAGTCTGATAAATGACTTGTTCCCTGGAATAACTCTGGATAAAGCTGGTTATCCTGAGCTGGAGGCAGCCATACAGAAACAGACAGCAGAAGCTGGTCTTATCCATCATCCTCCTTGGATTCTAAAACTTATCCAGCTGTATGAGACACAACTCGTGAGACATGGTAAGCATGCAAATTCAACACTGAGACAAGTGAACACAACAGCTGAAAACACCTGCACATCTTCTCTAAATCATGTGTATGTTTTTATTTTGGCAGTCTGCGGCTAAATATATATACCATGTATTTAATCTCCAGCTGACTACACAGATGAAATCCATATGAAAGAGCAGTTTTACCTGCTAAAAGGATTACTATTTCTGTCCAGCCAGTTCTGAGATTTACACAGCTCAGTTACACAGGACAGTCCTGCCTGGCAGGGGAGGGAACCTTATCTTTCTCTGCTGCAGCTTCACTTTAACTTAGAGATCTCCTGCATGCCCCTACCCTGACAGTAAAAATAGAAAAAACACACACATTAGCTCATCCTGCTCTCTCCTTCCATCAGTATGATCTTTGCACTCTAACACAACCATAAAATACATTTATTTTTGTCCATTGAGCATTTTTAAAAAGAAAGTAACCAAAAAGCTATGTTTGGTGATAGATTATTTTTCTATCTAGAAGATATGTTGTCCGCACACCATTCTGCCTCGAAATATCATCTTTATTCATATTCCTTTAGCATGACGTGAATGCCTTTCACATTCATTCACATGTCATGCTAAAGGAATACGAATAAAGATGATATTCTGAAGCAGAATGGTGCGCAGACAACATATCTGCTAGATTGTATGCTGTGACACCATCCACCAGTTGTTCCAGCACCCGTTGGATTCTGGGGTATAACGGTACGGTGTGTGAAGGGGATATCACAAAGGTTATTTTTCTAGACACACTTCAGTGTTGGGAAGCACAAATACGCCATTGCTTTATTTGTGTTAAAAGTAACACAACATTAAAAGTAACTTGACAGATAGGAGACAGAGATGAATCAACCACACTAATGTAAACATTGCACAGTGGATTGATGTTGTTTCAGTTTAAACTATGTTGTTTTTGTGTTCAGCCTACTATATAAATAGAGCCTTCCCTTCTACTTCTACTACTACAAATGACACTGATAACTGCTCAAAGTAAATGGTGTATTTTCAGATAACATCACATATATTTGTGTTTAAAGTTGCATAGACTTATGCAGTTGTTGAGAGGTACAGACTTATTGGACAGCTTTCCAACATATACAGTCATGTGAAAAATAAGGTACAACCCATGAAAATGGTTGACTTTTTCAGCATATTTAAACAGGCAAACATTAGATCTTTAGTCCAACAGTAAATAATAAAATAAAAAGAAACAAGAAAAAAATGCCTTTTCAATTATTCATCAAAAATATCAATAGAGTTAATGGTGGGAAAATGTTAAGTACACCCTTGGCATCAAAAGCTGGTTTTGCCCACTGTAGTCGAAATTAAGGCTTGGAGACAATTTGTATAACCACCAGTCTCTGACATCAACATTTTTGACCACTTTTCCATGCAAAATGTCTTCATTTGCAAGATGTTTGCGAGTTTCCTTGCATGTATTTTCAAAAGTTTCGGTGGATTTGCTTGTATGCTTTAAATAATTATGATGTTGAAAAACTAATTTCTAGTTCAACTTTGGACAGATATGGTTTGATTTACCAAAGTCAAATAGGCTGTTCACTTTGCAAGGGAATTTTCCCTACACTTAGTGAATAAGGTGAGGCTCTGCTGACTACTATCATTCAATTATGAGCACCAAAAATTTATTTTTTTGTTATTTTACTTGCACATGAATTCTTAGCAAAATGAATTTTTACCACATTTACTAAGCTAAGGGAAAATTCCTTTGCAAAGTGAAAATTCACTTCCAAGGTAAACAACCTATTTGCCATTAGTAATTGAACCTTATGATCTCACATTTCCTCATCAAGTACATGTTGATACCATGCAGAATGTATAGTTGACTTGAAAACTGTGAGCTGCCAAGGCCTTAAAACCGCAAAGCAACCACAATCCATAACATTTGCACCACCATGCTTTACAGTTGTTATGACGTCCACCTGAAATACTTCAGATTGCACTAACATGTTTTCTATTATCAAACATCTCTATCTTTATCACTCTTTAACACATTGCTTTAGAAGGCCTTGTCTTTGGCTATATGTTCAATGGCAATATTTAATCTTGCTATAATGTTCTTTTTGGACAGCAAAAGCTTATTTTTAGCTGTTGCAAGAGTTACCTGAACACCCAGCAATAATATTTTTAAGGTTCTTGGAGATTTCTTTTAGCATCAAACAGTCAGCTATCGGGTTGAATCTGCTGGCTGGTCATTACTGGAGAAAGTAGCAGTTGTTCAAAAACTATGCCACTTATAGATTATTTTCTTTACAGTGGTTTGATTGATTTCAAGTCATTTAGCAATCTTTTAGCAACCCTTGCCAGCCTCATATGCATTTATAGCCTTTTTCTGAGGGCACGAACTAGCGATGTTCGAGTCCAACTCTTTTCCGATTTGAACATCGAGCCCATCACTAATGCTCACATGCTAGAAGACATGCATGTTCCCAATTGTAGCAAAACACAGACATACTGTCAAGTACTGTTATCTGGATAGTGGATAACTGTTATCTTTCATCAATAGCTACAGAATCTTTCTGGTATTAGCAAGTAAACATAGAATAAATAGATAATGGTATATTATGGGGATACTTTACTTTTACAATGGCTCTTCAATAGAAAAAAAAAATTTGTTTGCTCACACTTGCTTTACTAACTGGTTTCTTAATAAAAATGCCTAATTTCCATAACATTTATTATGCACCATCTTTCTAAAATAATATGGATTACATAATTTATAGTAAGAAGGGCACCTTTATGACAATCTCAAATACTTTATACAGTAGATCACGTTTTATATAATTTCATGTTTTTTTTAATATATGGTTTTATGTGGGTTATATCTACAATATAATTGCATTTCTCAGTGGTTACCAGTGATATAGTACAACCTTACATTTTGTTTTTAAGGAATGATGACACTTGGACCTAGTGGTGCAGGCAAAACAAAATGTATTAATGTTCTCATGAAAGCAATGACAGATTGTGGAGCTCCTCACAAAGAGATGAGGATGAACCCTAAAGCCATCACTGCCTCCCAGATGTTTGGCACCCTTGATGTGGCCACAAATGACTGGACTGATGGCATATTCTCAACTTTGTGGAGAAAAACCTTAAAAGCAAAAAAGGTGGGTGTCAAAAACTCATTTTGTTGTTTTCCCTCTCGAAGACTGTTTTTTCTTCAATAGATATGGTGTTTGCAGGAAAATTTTTTATCAGCAGCAGGTTGCTCATTTATTATTAATGTGTTTCAGGGGGAGCACATATGGATAGTTTTAGATGGACCTGTTGATGCAATATGGATCGAGAATTTGAATTCTGTTTTGGATGACAACAAGACGCTGACGTTGGCTAATGGAGATCGAATTCCAATGGCACCTAATTGCAAAATTATTTTTGAACCACACAACATTGACAATGCCTCTCCAGCCACTGTGTCCCGCAATGGCATGGTCTTCATGAGTTCTTCTGTGCTGGACTGGAGACCTGTCCTTAAGGCCTGGTTACAGATTCTACCTGCTACTCAGCATGAAGTATTATGGAACTGTTTCAACAGTGTCTTTCAGGTACATCATCCTAAAATGTTTCTGCTTACAGAATATTAATTCGATAAACAGCATTTTTCATTAGATTTTACCCATTTAGAGCAAAGTGACAGGATCTCTTGAAAACTCACTCCCCACACATTGATACTTTCGTCACACTGCCTAGATGCCCTATTTGTCTGCCAGAGCCCTTAGCCCTTGTGAATGAGTAAGGGGTACTCATTCAATAAAGGGTTGAATTAGATGTAAATAAACACACAAGACTTGTAGAAAAAATCCTTTGATTGAAAAGAAAACGCAACAAAAGTTTTCGACTTTTTTTGACTATTACTTTAATAAAAAAAAAACCCAAACAATGAAAAACAATTATCCAACAAGGTAATCCAAGGTTAATTACGTCGTCCATGGATTTCCATAGCGATGCTAACTCGTCAAAATACAAAAAAAAAACCCCAACGCCCACCGACCTGCCCTCATGCGACAAACTACCGCCGCAAAATGAACAATGTGACAGATGACGGCTGAATGTTAACAGATAGGCCGAGCCAGCCGTGATGTCACTGTTAGCTCCACCTATCTGTTTACATTTTATGTTATTCTGATGGGTCGGCTTCGCCACAGACATCGCTGGATGGCATAATTGACCCTGGATTACCTCGTTGGATCGTTTTTTGGAATTTTTTCTAATGAAAGGAATAGTCAAAAATGTTTGTTGCGTTTGTTTTTAAAAGGATTTTTCTAAAGGATTTCTAAAAGTCTGGTTTCTTTATTTACATTATAGTTTAACCCTTTAGTGAATGAGTAGGGGTACAAGTACCACTTACTCATTGACAAGGGGCAGCATCTGGGTGCCGCTTTAAAAAAGGGGGTATCCCGATGAAAATAAGCCCCCCCTGCCCACAGACCCCCACAACCACTTGGTCAGGGTTGTGGGGAAGAAACACTTGTCCCCATTGGCATGGGGTCAAGGAGCTTTTCCAAGGGGGGCCCTTGCAAAAGCACCCTACCAATGCCGAGGGCATGTGGCCTGGTATGGCGCAGGGAGGGGTGGCAAAGTGAGAGCTTCTGTCCAAGTTTTTATAGTTACCAAGCCACACTCCCTTGCTGCATCCCAGCTGTAGGATCCCAGACTGTCAAAGCTCTTGTGCAGCTAGTACCAGAGCTTAGATAGGGGATGGTGTCAGTCCCCCTTCCCCTCCACATGATAGTGTTCAGGGCTGAGGATGGGTCTTTCAATCTTGGTCCCTGTTCACACCTAAACATTTTGTCCCAAGCAGAAAAACGCCTGTTGCAGGAAAAAGTACCTGAGCTACTTTTTGGCAGATTGCAAAGCTTTTGGGCCCCATAGACTTTAACAGGAAGCTTTGTGTTCGACAAAATGCACTCCAAAACACTCAGGTGTGAACAGGGGCCATAGAAATGAATGGGATTCCATGTCTTGAGCGTTTTGTCGCACTTATCTTTGCGCAACAAAATGCCTAGGTGTGAATGGAGCCTTAAATATTGTCACATTGGGAAGGTCAGCTGCTCCTTCACTTTCAGAAGCCTTGTCCTGTTTAGTAAGTAGTATGTATGTATATATATATATATATATATTACATACATACTGAGGCATCCCGGAATCTTTTTCAACTGTCCTTTACCTCTTCCAGCAGAGGTGCATTAATAAAGCAGGGAGCTTGGCAGGTTTGACCACCCACCCGGCTTCCTGATTGGATGGGAAGCCGCAGCCATTCTCCCTCGCAGCTTCCTGGGCACGGAGGACTACGGCTGTTATGTGAGGAAAGTAAGTGGCAAGTGCTGCTGCGCTCTGTATCGCTGAGCCAGTCACAGAGAGATCTTTGTGATCTCTCCAACGGCTCAGTGATTAAAAACACGGCACCTGCTGCTGCGGTTTCGGTGTTGTGCTCAGGGTTATTAGGGTGTGTCCAGGCACACACGCCTATGGTATAACTGCCTGTGGGGGAAGATTATCTGCAGACACTCACTTTGCCTGAATGGGCAAAGTGACAGCGTTTCTTTAAGACGTTTATATAGAGGATTTCATTCTTGTAGCACAATATGTATTGAACCATGCCTGTGTGGGGAAGTTACAATATATTAAAAATTAATAAAGATCATTTGACTTACAGTGTCCACTGTGAGATTTCCATAATGAGGTATATACTAATACATTTTCACAACACGTCATGTTTACTTGCCTAGGACTTGCTGTATTTCATTGAGCCTCTGTGCCCCAGTAACATTTCCTCTCAAGTATCTGTTCATGTTTTTTAGACTAATATTACTACTAGTTCTGTAACGTAATTGCACTCCATTCTCGTTAAAGTATGCTTGGTTGTTGTCAGTACATTACATAGTCACACAGCTGCTGTAGTCACTTGGTAGGAGTTTTAGTATTACATTTATGTGGTAATAATGCTATAAATCCATTAGCACCTGAAAACTATCATACATTGCTATTATTAGTATTAGTGTTACCACAAATAGTAGTAATGATTATAGAACTAATTCAGCTTCACAATAATGCTTCACACTACTTTTTGATGCAACATATATGCATCAGCTCTTTATGTAACATGTTAGATTATATTTAGTAAGAACTTTAACTAAAAGTACAAAAAGTACTTAATATAAGTAGTAATATAAAGTCTCTTATATTTTGGCATTTATCTACTGCTAGCAAGCATTGGATATAAGCCGCATGATTGAAAAAAAAAATTAGGCAAATACCTAGTTACTTACCTTTTACCTCCCGAATGGTGGGCACATGCGCAGTAGAGGGGAGAAAACAGAAACTGAAGCTCAGTGGACGCAGTCGGGGCAGCCAGGAGTGCGCACGTCAGACAAACACCGTGGGACACGAGGAGTCTACGGTGTATCAGAGACAGGCACCAGGGCTGGAGGGACTGTTGGAAACTAGTAGAAGGAAGAATATGATTGCAGCAATAGGCATCAAATAAGGTAAGTGCTTATATTAGCAATGGGGAGGGAGGATATGTTGCCTTTAACCCCTTAGCAACCACTGGCAGCAGGCCCATTCAAACAGACTTTGTTTACATTTGTAGACAGATCGCTTCTACGTGCCGGTAAAGTTGATAAAGTGCCCGTCCCCTACCCCCTCCCCCCCTTGCTCGACACCCTGCTGTGTTTCTTGGGCTCTACCAGCATCTCAGGTGTCGGCGGGAAGCTGGGGAGGAGAGATGCGAACATCCGTTAATCAATCTCCTCCCTGTTCTATGGGACCGAGAGTGACGTGTATTGCATCACTTCCAGTCCCTGAGCTGTCATTGCTCAGCTTCTGAAGCCCAGCAATAAGCTACTGAAGTGTGATCTGCACATTAATAGCTTATTTATAGTGGAAAGGTGACACTAGGGGTCTTTTGGACCCCCAGTATCACTCTAAAGAGTACTTGTCACCACCGATATGCTATCACATGGCAGCAATGCCATAGCAATTAAAGTAGAAAAAAACAATTTTTTAAACCCATGTCGTGTGCGCCTACTTACGAAAATGTAGATCGCACTACACATGTTAGGTATTGTCGCACATGCCAGAGTGAGAGCAATGATTCTAGGACCAATATGTAGGCGTATCTCTAAATTGATGACCTGTAAGGGCTCTTAAAGTGTCTATGTACTTTTTGGGGTACTGAATTATGTTGCCGTTTCACAGACGCACACAATTTTTAACCTGGGCATGTTGGGTACCTATTTACTTGTCGTAACCTCATCTTTTATATTTTACAAAAAATGGGTATTACATTGTGCTTGGGGCACTAAATTCAAATTTAGTGCATTTTTTACTAAATATTTGGGTTTGATAAAGAGTTACGCTAATATCATGCAACATAAACATTTGCAACTGCCACCATTTAATTCTACATGGTCTTGGCTTTAAGAAAATATATAATGTTTAGGGGTTTGAAGTAATTTTCAGTCATAAAATGTGAATTATAACGTGTGCAAAAAAACAAAAAAAAGGCCTTGGCAGCGAAAGGGTCCTTAAGGGGTTAATGCCATTTTAATTACTAATCCAGATAAATATAAGGAATACAAGCTTATAAGATTGAATTACATTTTTATATGTAGTCCCATTCTTTGTATTATTATTTGCACTATTTTTATGTCAGATAATCACTGTTTAGCATATTTTGCTTATTTTACATAATATCACATTGTGCCTGTCTTTGCATTGAACAGTCAGCCCTACCAAAACTGTTGTTTTTAATTGCATGCCTCCTGAACCACCAACTGGCTTATTGTGTCTGTCAGGAGCTGGCTGGCTGCAAAATCTCTGCATTTCAATTCCCTGATCTACTCACCTGCTGTGATGGTTTAGAGTCGGTCTCCATTTTTAGTCCCTTCTAGATGTTAGAAATGTATGGGTGGTTTTACACCCCACCATTTACCATATACTGAAATAAAAGGTTTCATTACATCAGGTGCACTGACCCTGTAATATTACTAACATTATGTTGTGCCAGCATTAATCATGGTACATCAAATAAACAAAGTCATGTGAAAATTAAGTACACCCCGTGGAAATTGTTGACTTTTTCAGCATATTTGAATGGGCAAATATTAGATCTATGATTCAAATAATGCCTACAAATAAAGGTGATATGCTTGAACAAATAAGAAGATACAAAGTTACTAGCACTCCAAATAAATGCATTTTACATATTTATTGATATGTTACCTTGAGAAAGAGACCCTGTAAGGCCCTGAAATGTCAGCTTCTTATGATTACATGACACTGTCTTTACCAAAAATACGTGAAATGCATTTATTTGCCATGCTAGTCACTTTGTATTTTCTCATTTGGTTTTGAAATGGAAAATAGAGGGTGCGAACTACCCTATTCAAAGCCCTGATTTGATTCCCATAGAAATTTTGGGTGAGAATATTGAAATGGGCAGTACTGTACATGCAAGGAAACCATCTTCAAACATCTTACAACCAAAGGAATTTTGCATGGAGAAGTCCCTAAAACTGAGTTGATGTCAGAGACTGGTGGCCAGTTATACAAATTGTCTTCCAGAAGGTATTTCTGCTGAAGGGGGCAATACCAGCTTTTGATAAAAAGAGTGTTCTTACCTTTTCTACAGTACACCATTACAGTGCATCTATTGATATGTTTGTTGAATAAATAGTTAAAAAGGCAAATCTTTCTTGTGTCCACCTTTGTGTCTTTCTGTAGGATCGCCCTTGTAAAGAAGTTGGTTGAGGCCCACTCTACCATGCCATACAACTATATGTATGGCCAGTTCTGTTTGAGTGCACCACATGCTAAGATCTTAAAATGTTTAATCTAAATCCAATCTAAAAGTAATTTAAAGCCACCATTCCAAATTTCCTATTAAATGAAATAGCATACATTTGAAAATATTTGTAGAAGTGTAAAATAAGATCTATATGTATTGCGCATAGCAGATATGTAGTCTTTTTTCCCCCCGACTGTTCATCTTTAGCTAAAATGTTTCTGTTTTCATTGGATAAAGTGAAACAGAGTCAAGACTTTCAGGTTCTCATTGCTGCTTTTGATCCTACTAAGGACATTTCTGCTAACATTCTATACGTGTTTCACCAGGGCAAGAAAAAAGGGAAGTGGGTATCATCTGTACAGGAAGACACAGACAGTTCTAAAATCCTATATATAAACTGTATTTGCATTGGCATGCATTATTCAACATACTATAAAAAATGTGTCTTTTCATTGAATACTGAAGTTGTTAGTCATTTGCTGTTTTCAAACCACTTGTGTTTAACACCATACCAATTGCAATAGTTTTGGGAGTAGCAATGGTTTAGATTATTGCTGCAAGTAGAAACAAGAATTCAGTGAAAACCCAAGTTTAAAACCGATTGATCTGCTACAAGCGTCAGGGGTTAATGTGTTATATAAGTGATCTTTTATTATAATCTTTATTTTGACATAGGCTATACTAAGACATTAAAGTCTACTTTTATGTTGGATTTGAATCCACCTTTAATCAGAATAGCAGTGTGCGCTAACTTAATTTATGAATCAAATGTACAATGTTGTTTTAAAAAAAACACTGGCAATTGTGAACATCTGACTGCAAATCCTTTTTAAACATTTGTTGTTTTGCAGGATTTGATTAATTTTGTGTTCACGGTTGTATTTCCAAAAATGCAAATATTGGAGTGTATGTATATACGGCAGGCAATTGATCTTCTCCAGGTAATTACATACAATTCTTTCTTCTCTAATCATAAGACAGCAAACTAAATATTGGCATAAATCTTACCGATAGGAATGTACTTTGGGTTCGGGTTGACTTTTTTGTGTGTGTGTGTGGGCCCCTCTTTTATAAACCATACTGAACCCTCATCAAAGTTAAGACCTGGTATGGATGTTTAGGGGAATTTCCAGCTGCTTTGTTTACAAACAGAGCAAAGCAACTGTGAAATGTCATTTAGTGGAAATAGTATTTTATTTTTAAATAAAATAAAAGTAATTTACCGCCACACACTTGAAGGATCCCTGTGCGGACCCGAAACGTTAGCACCGTATGACAGTATGTGACATTGGGTATTGAATAAACATATCAACACTTTAAAAACCCTTCAAGTGTGTGCCGGTGAATTACTTTTATTTACTATTAGTGTTTTGCACGGCGCCATCCGTGGGGTCACCTGGGCACCACATATACCTTGTGGTTTTGAGACCGTGGCAGTGTGAATGGGATTTGGACTTTTTTACTTTTTTATTTTTAAATACAATTTTTGTGAAAATACATCCTAGTCACGTGCAGGTTTAAGGCATCCCCCCAAGCATGTTATTTAAAGGAATTGTGTATTTTTAATGTTTGAGCCTTATTAAAATAGTTGCTCCCCATGAAACTGTATTTTTTCATGTTCTCCATGGCAATGCTCAGCAAGCTATGCCCTTTTTTAACAAAGCTTGCATAATGTATCTTTTAGCATAATGTATATTACTTGATATTATTTTAACTCTCCAATGTCCTTCTCTTTTACATGATCTGGAAGTAGCCATGACTGATGAGTTGCTACAGTTTTCTTTCATGACTCCTTCATATTTAATTGGTGTGATATCATTTTCTAGGGTCTTCTTTCTGATAAAGAGGAAAAGCAGCCCAGCCAGGAACACCTGGCTCGATTATTTGTCTTTGCAGTGATGTGGTCAGTAGGTGCTTTGCTTGAGCTTGAGGATCGTATGAAGATGGAAATTTTCCTGCGCAAACACTCTGCTCCTCTTGAGCTTCCTTCTGTCAAAGGAGATGAAACCATTTTTGAATTTGTCATTAATGAAAATGGGCAATGGGAGCACTGGTCTAAAAAGGTATGTAAATATCCTAAGGTGTATCCATGATTCATGTTTACGCTGTACAGTTTGTGTAGCCTCCTATGTAAAGCCAAGACTATATTGTCTCAATCTGTATGGCCTTCTATGAAAACTAAGCCTGTATGTCTTGGTTTGTCTTAGCTGAAAACAACGTGTGGCTTTTTTGGGTGAACCATCTTCTTGACACAAAATGTAATGTAATGTAATGACACATACAGTATATATTTTCTAAAAAATTATTGTAATTTGATGTTTTCCAAACAGGTTCCTGAATACATTTATCCAAAAGACTCAATACCAGAATACACCTCAATCCTAGTTCCAAATGTTGACAATGTTCGTACAGATTTCTTGATGCACACCATTATGAAACAAGGGAAAGCAGTTTTACTGATAGGTGAGCAGGGAACAGCAAAAACAGTTATGATTAAGGTGAGTAAGTCCCATTTATTTCTATTAATTATGGTGCAATAACCATTCTTGTAGGCAAGATTGGGGGCTGCAAAAATTTAGAATTCTTCTGGTAGAACCAGTCATGACTCTTGTTTATTGGATTTTACTGTGCATCTCTGCCAACCCTCCCCTTGTTGCTAGAATTATGCATCCTAATTTTAACCTAAAGTAAATGTTTTGCACAAACTGGCTTATGGTCCATTTCACCTGTTCACCTCTCCATCATTCCTTATGTTTGGTGCTGCATGCTCTATTATCCTTGTAGCTACACAGAAAATAGTATATGTGAAATAAAAATATGCATAAAAAGAAAAAAAAAGAAATAATTTTGTAAAATAAAAATCTTTTCCTTTCCCACAATTGCGATTTTTACATTTAATAAAATGCACTTTCTGTCTACATGCATACCCTCCAGTGATGGCTTTCCTGATGGTGACAACAGTGGACCATGGCTACATAATGTATGTTAAAATGGCCACTTGTAGTCTCCATTGAAAACCTTTGTTACAGGGTGACAATGTAAGTGCAAAATTGAGAAACAGGGACAGAGCATTATCACCCCATCACCAGAGGCGTTCTCAGTTCCTTAGCTAAGCGCTGAGTAGCTGTTCTGCTTCAGTTCACTGCAGCAGCTTTACTGAATGCTTTTGCTGTGCAGTGCTAAGCAAAATGGCAAAGGATAACATTTTTGACTAATGAATACCATTTTCCAATGAATATTTGGTGTGCTCGTCCACAAAAACATTAAATTGTAGGTTCCCACACTGAATTGATTTCCTCCATCGGGGGTTCAGGCACCTTTCTCCAGTGCTGCCAGGTGTGCCCACAGTTAAAATGGTCGCTGGTGCTCTATTCCCCACCTTCTCCATCACACTCGGCGCTCTGCATCTACATTCACTTCCGCTGCGAGTGCTAAGTTAGAGCTGAGAGCTGACTTGCAGGTATTATTTTATTTAAAGCTGCAGTTTTCAAAATTTTAAATTATGTTTATGTTAACATATATGTAAACACAAAATCTAATTTTTAAGTATGCTGACTACTCGGTTGACTGTTGAGCTAACTATTGGGTCTGTACATGCCAACTGCGCATGGCAGACTGACAATCTTTCTGCTGATTACAAGGAAACAGCTTAGCGTTGTCAGCCTGAAATGAGAAGTGATGTTGCTTGCAGGATTTCCAACAAACAAACTTTGCAAGAGGTTCACAAAAATGATTTGGATAAGAAATCTGCACGCAGTGAGGCACGATGCCAGACATATTGAAAAATAGATTTTGGATTTACATACACTTTAAAGCTAATTTAAGATTTCTGTAATTGGGTTTACAGCTACTTTAACTCTGCATTAACCCCTTAGTGACACAGCTTCAGAAAATGTTTTTGTTTCTTGGGACCAGACGAATTGTGCCATTTTTGCTATTGTTTGTTTAACCATTATTTCAATCTTCTTCATGCATTGCACCTACACATATTGTATAAAGTTTTTTAAAGGATAAAATTGGTTTTAATTTGATGTGACATATGCATATATAAATTCTTATTTTTTTTATAAAAAATACAAATAAAATGCAAAAACAGCATATTTTTCACAGTTTTGGCAATAATAATGTGTACTTAAATAGTGTAGCTAACAGAAAGTATTTCAGAAAAAAATATTTTATTTGTCCTGATTTATAGGGAATATCATAGTTCTGGGATTTCAGTTTATTTGGGGCGTTACAGGTCACAAAATTCAAGGAGTTAAATACAATTTTAGTGTGGAACAATTTTAGAATGTGCTATGTTTGCTTTCTGCCCGTGCGTGCCCGCTAGGGGGCGCGCGCGAGCAGAAAAAAAATGCCGTCTGGCGACGGCAACCCGCAAATGTTTTTCTACTACGGGCGGACGGCAACTGGTTAAACATATATTTTTAAAAATGTTAACTTTTTTTAATTTTTAAAAAAACTTTAAACTGTTTTTTTTTTTTTAATTAGTGGGGCACTAATGGGTTCATTTTTGTTACAGGGGCTTTTGATACTAAGTATTCTGAGGAGATATTATATTCTCCTCAGGGATACTTTGTAATACACAGCCGGCTTCCAGCTCCACAACACAGTGAGCTGAATGTTGGCTCTGTGGCTGTCAAAACATGATAATCACGGCGATTAGCTAAACTGTGACCACCTAAATTGCTGTCGGGGTCTGCCTCGGGCCCCGAGGGACCCATCAACAGCATTAACCCAATGAGCGTTGGCCTATGCACCAACCAGCGCTCATTGTACTGCATGACGGGATTATTCTGTCACTGGTCATTAAGGAACTGAAAGACCGTGACAGAATAATCCCGTCACTGGTCGGGAAAGGGGTTAAAATGTGGCCTTTTGCTATCCATGTTGTTGTAAAGCAAATGGTCTAAACAAATGCATAGCTTACTTAAAGTAAATGTTTTTTTCTCATTTTTAATAATGCTATAATTTTCATTTTATTGTGTTGAATTTATGTCATGGCCAGGGGAGTGTACTCACTAGGAATTGAGGCTCTGGGGTTTTTGGTACTGCCAGGCACTGACAGAAGACAAAGGGATGCCAAAGGCTCAGGAGACCGGAAGAGTAGGCATCAGGATGTCTTCATATTTTGTGAGGTGTGATAGATGTGCAGGGTATAAAGAGAGCTAGTTATTCACCAAAGCTCCTTGCAAGAGGAGATGGGCTTCGCTGTGGGGCCGCTCACAGTTTGTGGCCCTCTAACACAACTGCACAGGCACAGCTGGTAGAATACTGAGGCTACAAGATCACTGGGAACATGGGCAGCAGTAGCAGAAGTGACTTGCAGCATAGGGGCTCAGGATGTGCAGACTCAAGTGAAGTGAGACAGTTGCAGCGCTGATGTTCAGATTTCAGTGGCACACAGAGCAAAAGTCTGTTAAAGCACTGAGGTTCTGGATTCACTGGTTAGCAGAGGAGGGGGACAGTTGCAGCACTAAAGTTCAGGGCTCACTGGCGCAAAGAAAATAAAGTCAGTTAGAGCACTGAGGTTCAGAATTCACAGAGGAAAGAGAGGCTCACAGAGGAAAGAGACAGTACAGCACTGAGGTTCAGCACTCACTTGTTCACAGAGGAAAGAGACAGTTGCAGCCCTGAGTTTCAGGACTTACAAAGCAGACTAATGAACAAAAGGAGTAGGCTCACTAGGAGAATGCCTTGGACACAAAAGTAAGAGTGCTGGAACTCAGAGTACACAGGTGCGGTGATGCAGGGAGCTCAGACAGGCATGCTGATAAAAGACTGTACCTCTCTTGGAGAATGAGGTACACACGAATGCAGGAAAATAGGGAGTTTTTCATCGAGAACAGTGCACAGGAGTAGAGGCACAACAAAAAGTCTCTTGGAATTAATACAGGTACATACTAGAAGCGCAGAGCAGTCCAGAGGAGACACAGTGTATAGAAATATGGATATAAACAGTGGGTCATAGGGATTCTCGGGAAGCAATATGAAAACATCTGGAGACACGGGGGTCCGGCAGCTAGTGTGCTGACACGTTGCTCGAACACCAAGAAACAGATGCATTAGTCCTTTAACACAGAGGTTAAGAATGGATTGGCTGCAGGGCCTGCAGCCTGCAAGTGGCTGGAATCCAAGAGTCATGTACAGAGGGAAAACCCCGGCGCTGGATCAAGGAACAGGTAAGTGTAACAATTTATAACATGAAGCATGCTCACTTTTCAGTTGTACACTCAAGGAGTAAATATACATGGTACAATTACAATATCATACAAAAGAACAACATTGTACAAGTTGTTTTCCTGGTCAAATGTATTATTTTGTGCAATTAAGACATAGCAAGAAAGCAGCATGTTTTTCTTATAGTTTCTATAAAATATGTTAATTGTTGTTCTGTTTTTTCATGTGAAACCTAATCAAAACATTGAAATAGATATGTCATTGCCACTCAGTTAATAGTTGTTATATTGGGTAACCAGTTTCCTGTTAGATTTAGTATGTATAATAATAAAAAAAAAAACTGGCATTACTCCCATTTAGGCATTTGTCTTGCAGCATAAATTAAAAGTTTTACTTAAAACGAACTGCTGTTGTTGGAGCCTGGCACAAAAAGTGCCTTTGGAAGAAGGCCATAGCATTGTGATACTCCAAAAATATATCTGAAAACCATCTGGCTTAAATTTGTTTCTGGGTAAAGAGATGTCAGTTAACTAGCCCTGCTTCACTTTTATTAGCAAGTTGCCCCCTCTTTTTTTTGGGGTTAACCCTTAAACAGGTCTTGATAATATTAATTACCAGATGGCTTATTTTTGTTTTAATTTTAAAGTTGTATAACCTAAATAAATTATACCAATGCATTGGACATGTTTGTGCTTTTGTGTCATAACTTGCGTTTGTTTCTTTTTAAGGGCTACATGAGTAAATATGACCCAGAATTTCATATCACCAAATCATTGAACTTCTCCTCTGCAACCCTTCCAAACATGTTCCAGAGGAGCATTGAAAGTTACATTGACAAAAGGATGGGGACAACATATGGCCCTCCAGCGGGAAAGAAAATGACTATTTTTGTTGATGATATCAATATGCCTGTGATTAATGAGTGGGGCGATCAGGTAAGAAATATATATGTGTGGTCGCTTAGGATGACATCCTAACCAACTTTCAACTTTAATGTTATTTAGAAATATGTTAAACTAAAAACAGTTTTGGTTTCATTTCTACTTTAAGGAAAATAAGGTCTGCGTTATCTACTTTACAATTCTAGGGACGTATCTGAAATATTTGCTAACTACTATTTGTCTTTCCTAAACAAACCAATTCTCACACTGAAAAAACAGACATAATAACTTGTGGTTCTAATCTCTATAGGTGGCAACTTTAATTTGGAATCTTATTAAGAAGAACATTTATAATATATTGGTTATGCAGCACAGAACTAATCTCGCCTGCAAAAAAACATAAGTTACCACATCTTCCCTATGTTGCGTGGCACCTAGCAAATCACAGCAAAACATTTTTGACCAAAGGCCAAAGGTTTTTACTGCAACTTCATACATCAAGCTAAAGGCTGACCAATATCCTAGTTTCTCTGATTAGCATGTAACCCCCCCAAAAAACCCAAATACAACGTAATTTGTTTTACTTACAAATTCTTGGTAGCCCAATCTAAAAATGTTCATTTTTTTGTATATTATATATAGTTGACTAAAAAACTTAGAGGCAGTTGGAGGGGGTTTGTATATGGCTGGAGATTAGCTTTATTGTTATTGAAATAAGTGGTTGCAATATACATGCACATCTATTCTTACCTTTAGCCATTGCAAGAATATTTACTTTGCTGCAATGTTATTTTTCCCAGACTACAACTATGTACCCTTAGAAAGAAAAATCATATTTGAAGCATGCCTTTGTAGTTTGATAATGCAGAATCTGACAAGGACATTGAAAATTGTCAATGTGTAGGAGACCTGTTGTGTTTGCTCAAAGCAACCTGATCCATCTATTTGCTGCTTTCAAACCAGAATAAAGAAAAATATTGCATGGGTTTAATATGTTTTTCTTTTAACTCTCATACATTAGTGGTTACAGCCCATGGGTTGTACTATTGATTAAATATAATTTGTTTACATTTTATTGTAAAATCCATTTTAATGTAATAGCCTAGCATTTTTCATATGAGTGTTGTAATATTTCGTTAACAGATAACCAATGAAATTGTAAGGCAACTCATGGAACAAAATGGTTTCTATAACTTAGAAAAACCTGGTGAATTCACTAGTCTTGTTGACATTCAGTTTGTGGCGGCCATGATTCACCCTGGTGGAGGTCGAAATGACATTCCCCAGCGATTGAAACGTCAGTTTACAGTCTTTAATTCCACTCTCCCATCAAACTCCTCTATCGACAAAGTATTCAGGACAGTGGCTGAGGGATATTTTTGTGAAGAAAGGGGATTTCCTCTTGATGTGTGCAAGTTGGCATCTGCGTTGGTCCCTACTACTCGCAAAGTGTGGCAGGCAACTAAAATTAAGGTAAGCCATGAAATCTCTGTGCCATATGCAGAAGTGTTAAATAAAAGGCTGCTGTGTTTTCATAGAGTGTATGATATGGTTAGACATTTGGAGTTTCATTAAACTTTCTTTCGAAAATATAATCATTACCCATTAACCACCTGTTTCGAGGGCTCAACCAACAAAATAGCTCTATCACAATTCACTATCACTGAAATATGACCACTGTATATATTTTATACAAAGCATAATAATTTATTTCAAAACCAACATATTTAATTGAACTGACAATATCTACAAATAATAAAAACCATGGTAAATATAAACCATGGTTTTTAAAATTTGTAGATATTGTCAGTTTAATTTAATATGTTGGTTTTGAAATTATTATGTTTTATATCAAATATATACAGTGGCCACATTTCAGTGATAGTGAATTGAGATAGAGCTATTTTGTTGGTTAAGTCCTTGTAACAGGTGGTTAATGGGGATTGAATGTCTTGTATATAGCAACGGCCTCCTGACACATCTATACTAGAGGCTTTGGTAGTCAGAGTTGGTGTGGTTGTTGTGGTATGTGGAAAATATAACCAAACGGGTAACTTTGTTCAGGACAGTGATCTACTGTATGTGTTATTTTCCTTTTTCCTCTTTGTCTGATTCTTTGAGATGTTAAAATTGGAATGATACTGTCAGAAACCCGCTTGTGGTGTGTTTGATTGACAGTCATCTGCAGTTTGCTCTACTCTCTGTGGTGCTTTCAGGTGTCAGGACCTTTGATGGTGATAGGCTTTCTTTATTGAATCCTCCTGCTGAGCCTTCAGTTGCTTACTGCTTGTTTTCCCTGGGTCCTTCTGTCCACCTGTTACTGCTGTTCTTTCTGTCATTGCTGGGTCCTCCTTTCTGCTGATAACTGCTCCTATGGCTGTTGTTTCCCCTGCAACTCTCCCAGTCTTTTGCTGCATTCCAATGTGTATTCCTGTGTGCCAGGATGAGCATACCTGCCCTTTTTATTCATTTAGGTGAGTTAGGCACATGGAGCGATGAGCGTATCTCCTGGTCAATATTCTATTATTACCTAATGAAACAATTTGTTTGCTGTCACCAGGGTAATTTCATTTGTACCTGTTTCAGTCTTCCTGCACCCTGCCATATTCCTACTCCTGATTCCCTTGAACCAACTTTTTTATGACCGCCGACATGTTGGATTTGTACGCTTAATTGTGCAGTCTTTGGTAGAATTTCACTTGCTCTGGAACTTGTTGTGTTTTAGCTACATCTCTACTCCATGCCCTGGTTTAGATGCTAAGCACTTAAATATGCCCCCAAGACAACCTTAGGTAACTCTCTTTAACTACATTTCTTTCTTCTTTTTGGCACTGATTTAATTAAGCTAGGTACAATCTCAGTTACAGTATATGTCTACTCAACATTTTCTAGCTTGCCCTTGCTGGGGAATGGGTTGATTGGGTGGGCCAGATAATCTGAACTTGTTGCGAGACAATTTCTTGAAACAGATGGTGGAGGTTCCAACTAGAAAAATGCCATCCTAGATTTAATAATTACTAATAATGGGGAGTTAATTGAGGATATTGTAATTGGGGAGACACTGGGTAGTAGTGATCACAATGTGATTACTTTCAATATTAAATACAGGAAAGGAAAGAAGGCGAGACGGACAAGAACCCTTAATTTCAGAAGGGCCAACTTCGATAAGTTGCGCAAACTAGTGGGGGAAATAAAATGGGATAACTCATTTCACAACCTAAACTCAGGCCAAATGTGGGACTGCTTCAGGAACACATTACATATTGCCATTTCAAAGTGTATATCATTGGGTAACAAAAACAAAAGATCAAAGACTAAACCTATATGGCTAAATAAAACTGTAAAACTACATGTTAAGGCAAAGAGAATGGCATTTATAAAATATAAGATGGAGGGGATGGCATTGGCATTCCTTAACTACAAGGAATGTAACAAAAAATGCAAACTAGTAATCCGGGAAGCTAAAATAGAATGCAAAAAGCATATCGCCGCAGATGGTAAAAAAAAAAAAATTAAAAAAAATTCTACCAATATATTACTAGTAAAAAGGTAAGAAAGGAGCAGATAGGCCCAATAAAGGACGAAAACGGGAAGTTACTCACAAGTGACAAGGAGAGGGCCGAGGCGCTGAACAATTTTTTCTCCTCAGTATATACACAGGAGGGAAACGCGTTTGACGTACGTGATAACATAGTTTTCAGCGGAGGGCAACAAAACTAATTAGGGGAATGGAGGACCAGAGCTATGAGACAAGGCTTCTGACCTTAAACATGTTTACGCTGGAATTAAGGAGATTAAGGGGGGATATGATTTTCATGTACAAGATGTTCAATGGTGACAGCAACATTGGCAACAAACTGTTTGAGATTAACTCCATTACAAAGACTAGAGGCCACCACCTAAAGTTGGTGGAGAAAAAATTCAAGCACAATGGGCGAATGGGCGAGGGTTCTTTACAGTAAGAGCGGTCAAGGTCTGGAACTCACTGCCATCGGCAGTGATTTCAGCCAAGAGTGTAGATTTGTTCAAGAAACTTTTGGACAATTTCTTGAGGGACCGTAATATCCAGGGATACCAGTATCCCTAAAATATGATGAGATGATGCGTGGACCTATATGGGTTGGACTTGATGGACGTATGTCTTTATTCAACCCCAAATACTATTAACTATGTAAAAAATCCCTGGATGCACCTGAGTGCAAGCACATACATTTTGAAGCCTGTTGAAAAAGCTGCTGCTAAAAATGAAGACAACACAGTAGTTGTCTGGGTCATAACACCAGCACAACCACTGCAACTAGTATAACCATGCTGGGCTACCTTTTGCATTGCTGTGAATTTGCTGCATGCACGCTTAGATTTACATGCATACTACGGGTAAACCTAGCCATTTTATATTTATGAAATATATTTATTTAGTTGTCCTAGTTGACTTTGCTGTGGAACAGTTTAGTGTCAGAAATGTTCTGAGAAGCTGCATGACAAATGAGCCTGTCGCACTCTTTGACAACCTCTCCTTGCTGTTTTTCCATGATTAGAGGCAAGCAGAACTACACACAAGTATTGTAGTACTTAATTGTGATACTCCCAAAGTAAACCAAAACTTTCACCCCTGGAAGAATCAAGTACATCTTCTTCCCTACCTTTCTCTTTCACATCATTATGTTTACTACTCCAGGTGCGTATGTCTGCATGGGGTGCTTACAGACAAAACAGATAGTCTAGCCTTTGAAGAAAAGTATCAGAAATGTAAAGATAAGTAGATAACTTTAGATGATTTCCAACTTTATTTGCTCTTTTTATTAGAGCTGAGCTTATTCAGTATATCGCCACCAATGATCTGCTCAGAAAACATGCACTAAACAATGATCATGCATCTCAGGTTCCACAAGTTATCTTATCCCCGCAAGAACATTTGGAAATGAACAGATTTCCAGGGTACAGTCAGCTTTCAAACTAAAAATATACAATATGCTAAAGTAGTATACATATGCAGTCTTTGGAAGAAGAGCCAACAGACCCTCGTCTAGATTAATGTCTTCTTGCCATATTATTGCTCTGTATGGATAATAAGGTTTTTACAAATTTGTCTAATTTCATTCTGCAGATGTTACCAACCCCGGCAAAATTTCATTACATTTTTAACTTGCGGGACTTGAGCCGTATTTGGCAGGGGATATTGACAGTTACATCAGACATCTGTCGCAGCACTGACATCCTAGTGTCCCTTTTCCAAAATGAATGCACACGTGTGATAGCAGACAGGTTTGTTGACCAGAAAGACAAGGATTGGTTTGAGAACAGTCTGCAGAAGGTAATGATGTGTACATTTATACTTGTCATATAATATTTGCAAAAGCATTGTAGGGTAGTAGATGCTCTGAGACACAGGTTTTACAACATTCTTTCAAAGCAAGATATGTGCTTTTATACTTAAAAGTTTGTCAAGTTCAGTTACATTCAATTGTGTACTATTTAACAAAAAAACTATATTTGTGACAATTTTTTTACAGCTATTTGTATTTAAGAGGTGGGATCAATAAACCAGACCTTCCATTTTCATGAAAAGTCCACTATAAATAGAACAATACATAGTACAGTCCATTACATATAGTAAATTTGTTCTTTGTGTGTATAATGATTGTTTTTTCACTAAACATGTTTTTACTTTTAGATTGCATTAGAAGATCATGGACAGGAGCTAATGCAGAGTGTAGCAAAAGAGTCCTACTTTGTGGACTTCTTACGAGATGCTCCAGAAGCAACCGGTGATGAACCAGATGATGCTGACTTTGAAGCACCTAAAATCTATGAGCCTATCCCTTCATTTCAACATCTTTCAAACCGGCTTGACATGTTTATGCAACAGTACAATGAAGCAGTTAGGGGAGCAAGAATGGATTTGGTGTTTTTCAAGGTAAATAAATGATATTGTGCAATATTACATATATAATATGACTCGCTAACTCAATCACTGACTCAATAATTACTTGTTACACCTGGGAATGTATTTTGGCTACTGTTTAGGATGGCTACATACGATCCTGTTAAGCTAGTTATTGTTCCCCTCCCTTTAAAGGAGAACTATGAGATGAGTAATTTTCACTCACCCTCATAGTTAGAGTTGACATTTGACACTGAAACTGTCACATGTCGGCTCTGTAATTCGAGAAATGAGCTAACACATACCGTCGCTCACTCACTTTCTGATCATCTCCATGCAGAGAGCGGTGACTGTCGGGGATTCCTCCCGTCTCCTCTCTGATCCTCCAGCGCTGACTGGAGGAATGGACGGGGGGAGGGGGCGGGCACAGCTGGCTTTGCTTCTAGATAGACAGAGCACGCTGTCAATCAGCTAGCTGGGTGGATCTCGACATTATTGTCGGGAACCTTCCCGGCTGTGGCGCTCTCAGTATATAGCGAGCTATATACTGAGCTTTGGCTCAGACCCATGACACTAAAGAGAACTGTGGGATAAAAAGGTTACCCCGTAGTTCTCTTTTAAGTTGAACATAGAGCCATACATCTTTGTATTTAGCTATATAGAATAGCTAAATACAAAGATGATAGGTCTATACAGTGTGTGTGTGTGTGTGTGTGTGTGTGTGTGTATATACAGGTGAAACTCGAATAATTAGAATATCGTGCAAGAGTAATTGCAGTAAGTGCTGCAAAAGGGGCCCAAACCAAGTACTGAGTACATATGCATGCTTGTACTTTTCAGAGGTCCGATATTGTTCTATGTACAATCCTTGTTTTATTGATTGCATGTAGTAATCTACTTTTTTGAGGTTGTGGATTTGGGGTTCTTGGGGTTTTCATGAGCTGTAAGCCATAATCATCACAATTATGACAAATCACGGCTTGAATTATCTTGCTTTGCATGTAATGAGTCTATCTCATATATTAGTTTCACCTTTTAAGTTGCATTAGTGAAATAAATGAACTTTGCACGATATTCTAATTATTCGAGTTTCACCTGTATATATAGATATATATATATATAAGAATCTACAACAGGTGATGATTTATAGGCAGAAAAGTAAATATTACATTAAAATACTTATATGCATGAAAGTTAAGTCTTTAAAAGAAAAATCCTTCACCTTTCTTGACTTTTAGGGGGCAGGATTTCTCTGCTTTTCTTCTGTTTTCAGAGCTGCAATAGTAGGTTGATTTTTGGGTACTTCTGTATCTCAGAATCAGTCATCAAATATTACTCTTCCATGTGTGAAACCTCGGGATAATGGCCAATCAAATCACACATGCATCTGCTGCTCAGTTTTTTGTGGTTTACAAAATGGATGTGTACATCAACATAAATTCAGTCCTATATTTATTTTTTATAAATGCTGCTATTTATCTTTTACATATCAATATGGAACAGTTTAAAAGAAACATTCTTATACAGTAGCAAACATTCTCAAAAGTTCTCTTTCTGGCTTAGAGGCAGCCAAATCTGTGTCCTTTAAATAGCTGAGATTGACTTTCTTATGCTTTACAAAAATACTGCTTGCAGCGGCTCTTAAATAATGTATGACACTGAGCACAACAGACACAGGGAAGTTAGATGTATGTAACCAGCTCCTTAAAACGGCATTGCTTTGTTCTGGTAAGACAGACAGAAAATGGTGTGTAAATCGGAATGCTATTTTATGGTGTGTGCAGCAGCTGTCATGCTGTATTTAAAAGGTTAAACATATTCTATATTTTTTCAAAAACAGCCTGCAGAATATTGATCCAGGAAGCCCATAAATCAAAATTTTTCAAGGAATTCACAACATGCCATTACTGCCTGATCACATAATGGGTCACAATGAACAAAGTAGTTTTGTACTTTTATTCTCTTATATTTTCATTTTTGCATGGAGTGTGAATATGAAAGTTACTTTGTATATGGCATGGAAGGCATAGATCCTCTGTCAGGTTTTACTGTTGTCTGTGTCCCCATTAGGGAAAATTCCCTTCTCATTCTGTTCCACCGATATTATAGAAAGGGATTGGAAATCCTCCAATTTTGCAAAAATTAGGAGAAATATCATCTATGACAGTTGTAACAGGAGCAGTTGCTCCCATTGGTAGATATCACCTCTGCTCCTGTTCTCGGATTGTCCCAGTAACAATAGTGACCATGATGGATTGTAAGCAAGAATCTCCCCAACAGAGACAAAGACTGAGCTATTGGTAGTCATGCTTTTCATATGGCACAGCTAAACAGATGATACATATAGTTCCTGATTACGCAAATCTGTTTTTTTGGGAGAGCAATTCAACTTCATATTTCTCACTGGACAGTGATTCAGCATCCATGAACCAATCATGCAAAACCATAAAGTAGCATGATGATTTTGCTAACTATCTGAGCTGTGTGTATCATAACACGGATTGGCCAAAATCACTAATTCTTGGCAGGTAAAACTGAAACACATTTGCATTTCAATCATATATTTAGGTGTTTACCTGGAGTTCCTGTAAAGTAGCCACTGCTCCAAGCTCACTCCCACGATAGACTGCAATGTCACATTTAGATTACTAATTTGTATTGAAATTGTAGCCTATCACAGGTGTGAGCTTGGAAATCTGGCTACTCTTCAACCCACACAGGGACCATGGGGAACAAAAGTAGCTACCCTCCGGAAGGAAGGACAGTGTCAGTACAAACAAAGAGTTGATTTCAGGATCTACCGTGGAGTGATACACAAATAAGCTACATTTTTGTTAATAGTTGAGGAACTTAAATGCATTTTTAAGATTTAACTCCTGATTTAAGTCATCTTTGGTTATTCATAATTGTGAAATCTGGGAAGACATGAGTATTTTGTAATGCTTGTTTTGCAATGATTAAACAAATAATGTAACAAAACCCCAGTGTTTTACTTTAAACAGCACATTCATATTAATTCCAGCTATGCCAGCTGTTTAATTAATGTTTATTCCACTATTTAGGATGCAATGATCCACCTGGTAAAAATCTCCCGCATTATCCGGACTCCGCAAGGAAATGCTTTGCTGGTCGGTGTTGGAGGATCAGGGAAACAGAGCTTGACTAGGCTGGCTTCCTACATTGCTGGATATCAGAGCTTTCAGATTACTCTGTCAAGGTAAATATTTGCTATCATGAATTTTAAAACTTGGGAGCTGTTTTAAATAAAGCATGCTTCACTTTGGATTAAGCTATCAAAAACCTAATGCTTATTGTTCATACACTAGTTTTTCAGTTTTACACCATAGATCATTGTGATTAAATGTTGATTTTCATTTTTCCTTGAAGCCTTGCGTAGTTAAAACATGTAATAAAAAAATGAAACAATACTTCTACCCCCTTATATTTTGTAAACATTTATACTTGTGACCTGTACAGACTTCAAGGTCTGTGTGCTACAGAATTTATATCAATTGGAATAGGAAAATGTTCTTTTAAGCCCTGAGTGACATGATAATACAATATTGTTTCTATACATACAAAACAAAGCTAAATTCATTATTATGTTACTTAGGAGTGCTGGTGAAGAAATTATAATTTTTGTTTATGTTACTGCTCTGTATAAACCCCAGTATTTTCTATATCATTGCTGTATAAGGGGCGGTTTTCTGTGAACCCACTCATTCTAGGTTAGCAGAGGTCATCGAAAACTCCCTTATATTTGACAACTTATACATAGGCTTTCTGGTTTCCCTAAGAGTAGTGATGGGCTCGGGCGTGTTCGCAGCTCCACATGCCGAGCCCGTCAGGAAGCTGACAGAAAGCAGCGCCAATCACAGGCACTGAGACATTTCCCGATCTCTGCAGCTGCGGACCGGGAACATGGCTCAGTACCTGTGATTGGCGCTGCGTGCGTCAGCTTCCTGGCGGGTTTGGCACGTGGAGCTGCGAACACGCCCGAGCCCATCACTAACTAAGAGCACCACCCAACTTAATCCAGCTTGGTGTCTTAGGTGCATTTAGGCTCCAGCTTTGACAATTTGCTGTTTTCATATTAAACGGCGGTACGTGATTTCTGAAAGGCTTAATATACTTGCCCTCCATTCTTCTGTCTAGTGAGATTGCCATTCTCGGGCACACAAGAAATACATACATTTGACATTTAGAGGGCAGGAGGACAAAGCTTAGTCCTATACACAAAATTAAGTCCTTGGTAACAAAGTGAAATCGGGATCAGTGGCATTCACAGCAGAGGCTAATAGCAGGCCTACACTCAAGGTCTTTTAAGTTAATTATGCTTTTAGTACATTGGAAAAAAATGTCATAGTTCTGCTTACTATGTTCTGACTCCATCTTTTATTGATGTGATTAGCACTTATTTGATAGCTTCTTGGTAAATGTACACTGTATTCAGTCTGTTTTTTTCTCCAAAAACCTCTTCACTTTTGTGCATGAAGTCAACAACTTTTAATAAGACTGACAAAATCTATTTGTCAGATGGCCTTGGAGAGCAGTAGGGCTTGTGTAGAGTTATATGTCTGTGCTGAGCCTTCAGCTGTTTAATGAGCATGCTGGCCCTTCAGCAGAATACAGGATAATTGCAGGTTTCTATATATGTCTTGTTGTGATGACAGATTTTATGTAAAGGGGGAAAGAATGATTCTTGACCGATAGCTGTTCACTGTGCAGTGTAATGATTTAGCAGCTAATGAGTCTAACTCCTTTAAGACACTCATTAATGCAGACTGGAAATGGAACAGTTTTGTATCTTGCTATGAGGACTCTTGAGTGTCTTCCCGTATGATGAGACAGCACGAGTTAGCAATACAGATGTTTTATGTTGACCTTCTGTTGGCATCCGCTTCCTTCTCTGTGTTCCTTTAGTAACTATGATTGTTCACATTGTGAAGTTCAATTTTGGGTTTTGAAGATATCTCCCCAAAGTAAACAAGAAAAGTGCACAATCTTAAAGGAAACCTGTTCTAAGAGAAGTATGTTGGCTGCCATTTCCTGAAAATACTATGTGCCTATCTTTATTTGACTTGAATTCTATAGGTTACTGAATCAGAAAAAGCATGCCGCAACAAAAGTCAAAGCATAGTCAGAGCTCCTGTCCTGCATATTTGTCGCTAACATTTCTTTTTGCATTAATACAAAAAGAAAAAAAAAGAAAATTAACTTCTTAGTGACCAGTGACGTCCATAGTACGTCACTGTCACCGGGCCCGTCTAAACAGACTCCAGGCGGCTAAAGACAGCAGGACTCTGTTTACAATTGTAAAGCCGACTGTCAGCTTTACAATAGAAGCGATCTAGCGACTCAGCTGTCACCCGATCGCTTCTCCGGGCCGGTAAACGGGCTGTCGCCCACCCCCCGCCCGACACCTCCGCCGTGTTTCCCGGGCTCCGCTGCCCCTCCTACGGGCCCAGGACTGTCTTCTCTGGTGTCGGGTGGAAGCTGGGGAGGAGATGGGCAATCCTCCATTCGCCGATGCCCTCTCCTTACTATGGGACTAGGAGCGATGCAGATTACATCACTTCCGGTCCCATAGCTGTAAGTGCTGGGCTCCTAAAGCCCAGCAGTAAGCTATTGAGGTGCGATCTGCACTAATGTGCAATAATGTAAAAAACATTTTTTTAAGTCCCCCCCTCCCTACGAGCACGCGAGTCTTCACGTAAACATGTTTCGGGTGCGCCTTCGTATGAAAACGATGATCTCACTACACAAGTTGGGTATCGCTGCGCACGCCAGAGTGAGAGCAATAATTTTAAGGCCAATATTTATGCGTATCTCTAAATTTATGACCTGTGGGGGCTTTTAAACAGTCATCTATGGTCTTTTCAAGGTACTGATTTTTGTCGCAGTTTCATGGACGCACACGATTTTTTATCTGGGCATGTTGGGTATCTATTTATTCATTTTTATTTAAAAATATATATTGAATTGTGTTTTTGAGCATTTAAGGGCATTTTTCAAAAAATGTTGGGTTTTGATAATACGTTGCGCTACTATCATGCAACATGAACATTGCCACCATTTTATTCTACAGGGTCTTGGCTTTCAGAAAATATATAATGTGTGGGGGTTTGAAGTGTTTTTCAGGCCTAAAATGTGGATTATAACATGGGTACAAAAAAAATAAAAGAAAAAGGCCTTGGTCACTAAGGGGTTCATTTGTAATTTGATTTTGTCCATAAGGGATATGCAGGCGCAGATGCTCAAGGAATTAAACATTAATTTCTTTCTCATTCATTAAGGGACACACGATTCATTCAATCCGAGACAATTGGGTAACAAAAGCTTGTGAACAGCCCTCCCACTCCATTTTTAACCATTTTTAAGTCATTTTTTTTTTCTAAACATAATTTCCATTTAGTCAAGACTTGATCTGCTTTTTTTTTGGTGATGCCTTGGAGGCTGTATTTGGACCCTGGTGGTCTATAGACTGCATGACTTCTGGTACTTTCCAAAACCTTACAAAGAAGGCTGTAAGCATCCTTCTATGCCTTATTCTCCAGAATCTTTATCTGACATTTCTGCAGTGTAGGGCCCTCTAAGCCTTCTGCTGTGGATCCCCTGTCGAATGAAGAGTCTCATAAAGCTGTTCTGGATAAATCTGTCCCTGAGGAACCAATATTTGTCCCTGAGGAACCACAATCAGCTGATATAGCTCCCAAACTTAAATATACCATGTCACTTCTAATTAATGTGATGCAACTCTGCTTAAAACTGAAAAAGCATGTGGCTGCTAATAATACTGTTACTAGTTTGGGATCCTGAGAGGACCCAAAACTGTTAAAACATTTCTAATACACGCCTTACTTGAACCTGCTTTGTATGGAACTTTACAAATCCTGATAAGTTATTTACTCCACCTACACATGTTACTGCCAATATCTATTTGAGGAGGCTTTTTTTAAGAAGTGACCTCTCCCTAGTGTAGAGGGTGCTGTATATTGCCAAAAAAAACCCACTCACCATACCTATTGAAAATGCACCAGTTTTTAAGGATCCTTTTGGGAAATATCTGGAAACTCTTTCCATATCCTTGTTTTGGCAAACCCTGCTATTTAAGCTGCCATAGTCATGATGTCTATTTGCCAATCCTTAGGGGAATGGACTAAGAATAAATCAAATGGAACTAGCTACTGCCTATAATCCAAATTAGTCTCCTGTCTTTGAATATGCGGAAAACTCTTTGGCTAAAATGCAGTCTGCAGAACAGCAATGTAAGAAATGATTGCCGTGCATACCTTTTGTGGCAAAAGTCTATTTGCGGCATCTTTAGACAACTTCATAATGGGTGGATGATACTGATAGTAAAGGTACTAATTTGCCCCAGCAGGAGACACCTAGGCCTCAATCTGGAAACACTTCTCATGCCTTAAAAACAAGGAACTGTTCCTTGTATTATTTTCTAGGCTTCACATTCAAAGGTCAAAACCACCATCAGGGGCCCAATTCAGTTGCAGCGAATGGGCCTCAAAACCAAACTCCAAACGTACAGACAAGTTATTTTCACTATGAAGGGATGCCCCCACGTTCCGAAGTGGGCGGAACTTTGTTGACTTTTGCGGACACCTGGTTAGAAAGTATCTTGAAGAGGGATGATTCCTGATCATGGCGGCTGGACGTGAGTGATCGGAGCTCTGTGCTACCCACCCACTTTATTACCATCTCACTTACTCTACTGTGTCTTGCCTACCACCTCGACATGGGGGAGAAGACTAGCAAAACGGACCCCTGCAAAACTCTAAATGTCTAAATGGTACCTTTCCATTGATCCACCGGATCGTGCCGCTCCACATGACAAGGCCCCCGACAGCTCCTGCAACTTCAACCTCTCCTCCATCCTCCCCCCGAGATTGGAATCCGGAGTCTCCCTCTGCCCAGTTGGATTTCAGTGAGAACCCTGATTTGAGGTCCACCATTCGGATGATCTGGTCTGTGCCTTACCGACGAAGCACGAATTGTGGGACAAGTTGTGGAGCATTCCCTGAAAGCCGACATTCTCTCTCTGTGGGGAGATGACTCGTCTACTTCACAGAGTCGAGCATTCGGTGAACAGGCTGGACTCTCATGCTGCAGCCTTTACATCTCTGCAGACCCACATGCACTCAGTTTTGCAGGTGCAATGCACTTTCTCCTATCATCTAGAGCAGGGGTAGGCAACCTCAG